AGCCACGAGCCGAGCCATGTGGCAAGGTATAGATTAATGGAAATGGATTAATTTAAGCTGTAAGAACAGTTAGCAAGAAGCCTGCCACGGCCATACAGTTTGTAACCAGTATAAGTCTCTGTGTTTATTTTGGTTGGGTCTGAATGGCTGTGGGACTGGCGGGTGTCAGAGATTTGTCCTGACTGTGGGCATCAATCAGGACCCTAAATATGCTTTACAATTTGTGTGTGTGTGTGTGTGTGTGTGTGTGTGTGTGTGTGTGTGTGTGTGTGTGAAAACAAGCCAACTGTAATGTTATGCCCAGATCATGGGGACCCTCCCAAAAAGACCACCATGGAGACCGATCCTGCATGTAAAAGCAAAGAGCCTTTATTTCAAGCTCCAGAGCTTGGTCCCTCTGTCTGTCCAATACAGCGATGAGAGCAGAGAGACCTGAGCTCAGGTGGGGCAGTGGTTTTTTTTTTTTTTTTTATCATAGCAGAGGTTGGGGTGAGGGGATTTCCAGGGTCCAGGACCAATTGGCTGACAATTGTCTAGGGGTATCTGTAAAACAAAAAAATAGGTGTGTGCTAGACTCAAGGGCATCTGGCCACCTTATCTAATGGTTGGAATGTTTGGGATGTCAGGTACTTCCTCACCCCTGGATAGATCCCTGGGTGGTATCAGCTTAAGGCTTTTCCTGGATCTGGGTGTTGCCTGCCAGTAAGCCTGTCACAGAAGCTGTGTCTAGGCCCCTAAGCCTGTCATGGCTGCTGTGTGGTCAAGCTGTTTTGGGGCCCATTCACAGTACATGCCATGGCACACATGTGGAGGTCAGAGGATAACTCTCAGGTGTTTGTTCCCTTCTGTCACCTCTCAAGATCTTGAATTCAAACTCGGTTGCCAAGCCCGGGTGTAAGCAGCGGTATCCAGCAGACCACAAAGGCATTCCACAGTGCTCTTGAGTGAATTAGACCAGGATGGAGGTAGAGAGCAGATGTGAGTTCAAGAAAGCACATGTGGTCTGTGTGTGTGTGTTCATCTCTAGGTGGCTTGGGACTCTTGAGTACAGTGTCTGTGACATCTCTGCACCCACCCTCACAGAATGATCTAAAAATATCAGGAATCTCAGTAAATGTTGGTGACTAATGATGATTACTGTGCCTTTCCTTTGCCTGAGATTTTTATGGGACATACTCGCTGTTTGGGGCCAGATGGAGGAACTGTTAGGAATCGCTGAGTTTTGTTTCTACAGATCCCGGTTTGTATATCCTGTCTGGTGGGTGGTGAGGGTTCCAGGATGTGCGCTGAAAAGCTGCAGCTGCGAAGAAAGCAGGGCTCCAGTCACTGAGTGTTGGCTCTGAAGGAAGAGAGTGTGCATGGAAAGGGGGGGGACAGGAACCAGCACAAACAGGCGCAAGCTTTGTCCCCCCGTCAGGTACTCTCCTGGTACCCCACCAAACCAGGGGTTGTCCATCAGTAAAAAATCAAGGCAGCTAGACTGGTCTGGACAGTGATTGGTTGGCTCTGTGTGAGAGGCATGGCCCTTTAGTGAGGTGATCCAAACGGCGACAGTGATGGGCAGTGAGGGAGGGAAATTGCGGGTCAGCAACAGTGCTGACCAGGAAGGCCAGGTCTGACAACTTACGCCTTCATAGGGGAGGAAGCACTCCAGTCACCAGGTACTGTTGTTACCCAGGTCAGATAACCTTATCTGGCCTAATACAGAAAATAAAATTAGAAAATTTATAGTGAATCCAGACAAAGCAGAGTTCTGCTAACCCATGTCTGTGTCCTGGGCAGTCAAGCTCTTATAACTGCACTGATGTTGAGAGATACTGTTTTCATCTACAAAGTTCATTCTCTAGAACCGAGAAAAGGACACACCCCAAAGCACAGGTGTGAGCATGCGTGCATACACACACACACACACACACACACACACACACACACACACACACGTTTATGATTTTGTGTTGAGCCGCATGTGGCTCACTAGAAGCAAAGGGAGGTTGTGGACCCAGGCCAAACACACATGAAGAGTAGAGCAAACGGAATCTGAAAGACCGCAGTCTCAGCTGTACATAGTGGGACCGAAAGATCGCAGTCTCAGCTGTACATAGTGGGACCAAAAGACCGCAATCTCAGCTGTACATAGTGGGACCGAAAGACCGCAATCTCAGCTGTACATAGTGGGACCGAAAGACCGCAATCTCAGCTGTACATAGTGGGACCGAAAGACCGCAATCTCGGCTGTACATAGTGGGACCGAAAGACCACAGTCTCAGCTGTACATAGTGGGACCGAAAGACCACAATCTCAGCTGTACATAGTGGGACCGAAAGACCACAATCTCGGCTGTGCACAGCAGGACCATCTCCCTAGAAAAGGAGGCTTGATGGTCAGAATGAGGCTGACCTTTTTAAGTATTGAAAATTGACCATTGCACTAGATGCACATCATTTACTTGATAAAATTTCTTATTATCAACTAATTTATTAATTTATGGTTCCGGCTTAAATACCTTAAATACAAACATATTCAGTCATTGTCTGAAAAAAGCAATCACTAATGTTTGGTGAGCCTGGAGGATGTGATGTGTCTGCCAAGTTATCACAACTGTTTGTGTGTGATGTGTGATACCAGTTGTGGAAGGAGTTATTTTACACATAAAATCCCAACCAGGGACCCACATTTTCCTTTAAATCAGAATAGAGAGAAAGCAGATGAATATAAAAGTTTCTAGCTTGCTCTCCTTCATTCTCAGTGGGACTGGTGAGGGGAGGCATCATGCATACGCACTCTTCCAGCATCAGTGGACTAGGGTAGGATATCCTGCACACATACTCCTCTATCTTATGGGGCTGGGGTGGGGAATCCTGCACACATATTCCTCTGGAAGGAGAGAGGAGAACAGAGGAGGAGGAGGATTATAATTGGGTGGTACAAAAGTTGACTGGGCATTGCTATTAGGACCTAAATATTTAAAAAGTTACAGAGCCTGAATTAAAAGAAGGGCTGTTTTGTTCATCAATGGTGAAACTGAGGCTCTTGTCTTCCCAATTTTTAACCTCGCTTCATTTAATCAGGGTTTCAACACTCCTAGCTATTCCAAAAGTATTGATTTTTATTTTTTTAAGCTTGGATCTGCAAGACAGACAAAAGACTGTATATGATATTCCTGTAATGATTTATCTTAAGAATCTGTGAACTGTGCAATCGTGATTGTTAGGAGAGAGGCACCTGCTCACCTTTGGAAATGAAGAGCTGAAAAGAGATTCTGAGATTCAGAAAGGGTAAGGGATAGAAGGCTGACCTTTCGGAGACAGGAAACCTTTGATGAACTGTAGGACACCAAGACAGTTCATTTAAAAGAAGTCTTCAAAGTAGCATCCGAGGCTGGTTTTGTGTGTGCCTCCATGAGACTCTTGGGTTGTCTTTTTACATAAACCCAGGGAAATAATAGCTGCTGCCTTTGCTCACGTCTGCAGCCTTCATGTGGTACCTTGGCTTCGTGGCTTTGTTACTTCTTTTCAGTCTCTTTTGTGGACAAAATTAAACTTTCCTGACCATTTGGCAGCATGAAACTTTTCTGCAATGGGTTGTTAAGGAGAAAAGAGACAGGAAAAGGTCACCAATTTAATCTCCACATAATTAAGGTCTTGCAAACAGCAAAATAAAATGGCTGCTAACGCTCTCTCCAGACGGTAAGACGAGTCCCTACTCCAGTCTCAGAAGAAGTTAAAAGCCAGCTGCTGTCATCAAGAGTTCAGGGTGCAAATCTTTTTTGTAGGAAATTTTTTAGGTCTGGGCCGTGGTGAGGCTTGCTTGCTGTGTATATACATATATAAGTGTCTGCATGTACATATATATATGTATGTGCACATTTTCTAAGGTGCATAATAAGAAGGTTAAAAGAGTTTTTTCCTGGAGGAGGAGTGTATTGGGAGTGGGAACTGGGAGGGGGAAGGAGGAAGATTGGGAGGAGAGGAGGGAGGGCAAACTGCAGCCAGGATGTAAAATAAATAAATAAATAAATAAATAAAAGACTAGTTTCCAGTTTCCAACCCTAAATCGTAGACTGAACTTAAGCATGTATTAAGGTATAATATGTAGCCAAAAATTCAGTGTTCTAAGTTGACAGAGTCTTATTGTACAGGTCAGGCTGGTCTATAACTGAAATCCTCCTGCTTCTGTGAATCAAGTGGAGTGCTGGGATTTCAGATGTGTGCCCCTACATCTTGTTTCCTTTAATTTTTAAAATAAAACATCCTAAAAATCTAAGATAATTTATACATTAAAGTTTTTGTAATAGAGATGAATGAAATTTCTAGATAAATATGAGTAAGTCAACAAATCAAAAATGGTTGGCTAAAAGCCAGGATTTTAAATCAATTGGAAATAATGTCCTAATTTTCTCAGCACATTACTGCTCGGGATCGCAACACACATCAGGCAGGGTATTGAGAATCACAGGGTGCACTCGGACTTCAGAGCCAATGCTGGAGGAGGAGAAATGAAGAATCATGGAATGGGAAATGTAACCTGGGATTTCCCCATGTGAAGTGTGGGTCACATGGACACACCGGGCACACCAGGGAATGCTTTCTGAGGAGGAACTGTGTGTCAGCAGTCCCCTGCTCCCTGACAGATGGAAGCATGGGGTGTGAGGTGTCTGAGTGCAGGGTGCACAGGAGAGGTGTGCTGGAGAGGTGGTTGGTTGCTTTGCTGTCAGCCTCCACTGCTAAGTTCTCTCTGAGGTGGCTTCGTCTCCTAAGATTGGAGGCACATTTCTATCTTTGGCCTTTCACTGACATTTAATTGTTCACGTCTGGCTTTCACCTTTGTCTAACCCAAACCACGACGGTTTACTGCTTCTTATCATAAGGAACAAATAGACTCTCAGCTGGCTGTTAAACTTGTCTACAAATGTATTGCTGGGATAGGTGGTGTTGCCAAGAATGGCCTTGGTTATCAAGCAACCCTCATAAGACTTTAATGGCTTCTCTTCTCTGTTTCAGATTACTTGCCACTTATAACAGCCTCACAGATAAGCACCTGGCTGGGTATTTTAACAATACCAGGATCAGGCGGCACCTCCTAAGATCGGGGCTGGTAAGACTGCTTCGAGTTCTGCCCACCTTCTTGTTCAATTAAGGGTGAACATTTCCTACCTTTCTTCAGATTTCCTTTGAGTCTGTGACATCTCTTTCTCCATACTAATTTAGAAAAATTACTTCCTTTTAAACTTCTGATTTATTTATTTGGGGCTCTTTCTAAACAAAAGAAGAGAGGTTACAATGGCTACTAAGGAAACATAAATTATTGAAGAAAGGTCCCTGTGAGATTTCAACAGCGTGGTTGATTTGCTTATTTATTCATTTATTCAGTACACATTCTATGAACCAGACACTGTTAAAGAGCAAGGGCAGAGAAGACCTTATTGTTCCAGGAAAAATATTGTTTTTAATACTCATAGACTATGGTGTGGCAAACATGAACAGTTTGCTTCCTCTTTTATGTGTGTGTTAACTTTCATTTCCCTGTGATGTGCCTTCCATTAGCCTCAAAGCCGTTCTTCCCATGCAATTTCTGTTCCTTTAAATGTGTAGAAGGTGGAAAATTTATCTCAAAAAATCCTATGGTTTTCCTTTGAAAGGAAAGGGGTGTGGTTCTCGACAGTGTTGGCTGTTTGCTTTCTTAAAGTACAGTGTTGTCTTGGTGTTGAAAAAACCGTATTGTGTTTCTAATTGTTGTTTGTGTGCTTGGCACTAGCTGGGTGGAGCTGGAGAGAGAAATGCCTCATGGGGCATTATTATCAGAAGGGTCAGCTGAAACCTGTCTCAGCCAGGAACAAGACAACCATGCACACCCCTTGCAGCCCAACTTCCTCAATTGTGAAAGGAAGACAATGCCGCCTGTCTCTCAGGATGGCTATTACTGTTAGGGGCGTGCAATGAGTCACCCTGTAATCACTGGTGACTAGGAACACTGCTGACCATGATGCTATGGGGCAGAGTTTACTTAACACCATCTCCAAACACGCAAGGAACACTTTTTAAGAGCCTGGTAACTCAAAGAAGGAAGGCATGGCCCTTTCTCTAGATCAATGGATCCAGCAACAGCCCTGCAACCTGCAGGTTCACATTACATGGAAGTTACTTAGAAAATGTAAGTATGAAGCCCGAGGCCCCAGACCTGTGGGATTTGCTGTTCCTCAGCCCCTCTGGGTGATTCATGTTTACCTCATTCAAGTGTAAGCACTGTGGCTCTATAGGAGCTTCCTGTCTGACAAAATCCCAGAGAAGAGGTGACAGAGACATATCCAGCTGCTGCCAGAAAGGGGATAGTAGTCAGGATGGTCTAACATTAGACACTTCCCAGAGACATGAGATCCTTTAGCCAGCACACTCTAGACGCGGCAAGTGGGTTACCTGAAGTAATATGCTGCAACAATAATATAAAAATAACAGCTAAAAAATTAAGAAGGAAACTAAGAATACAAATGCGGGACTGGAAAGATGGCTCCGTGGTTAAGAGCAAGTACCTGAGTTCTGCTCTGAGCACCCACACTGAGCAGTTCACAACTGCCTGCAACTTCAGCTCCAGGACACTCGACACCTGTGGCCTCTGCAGGTACCCACACTCACATGCACATAGGCACACACTGGCATATAATTAAAAATAAAACTTTGAAAGAGAGAGGATGTAAAGGTGGCTTGCATTTAAACTTGAGGGGAACAGGGGGAGGGAAACAGGGAGAGGGGAAGAGGGGGAGGGGAGCCGGGGGAGGGGAAGTGGAAAGCAGAGCAAACAGCAGGGAGGGTAGCAGCCTCCTTTACAGGAGAGATCTGAGGACAACAGCAAATACACCCAAAGGGCGAGTCAAAGGAAGCACTGCTCCAGGGACACAGTGACTTCGCTGTGACTGTATCGAAAACTGTCTATGCCCACTCCTGCATAAACCATAAAATTCTAAATCATTGCAAATTGTTACATTCTGGCCTGGAAAGTGTAGGAAGAAAAAGCAGGGAGCAAACAGAGTAATGAAACCAATTATTTCTCAAAACAAACCGAAGGCTTTCTCTACCGCTTGCCAGCCTTACCCCTGCTGGTGTTTCCGGCAAGCTGCAGTCTGCTCCGCAGCTCCTGCGCTCCTTCCAGGCAGCACCTCCCCTCTCCAGGGTGCTTTCAGAGAATGAAAAGAACACCTGGGTTCCATCACTGGGAAATTGTTACTCTAATGAAAACCTTGTTTTAAACGTCAAGTGTACCACCTGTGTGTGTTTTCACACTGACAGGTACCTGAGACTTCCTTTCTCCTATCTGCCTGATGAAATATCCATTAAAAACGGAAGTTCATTAGGGACAATGGTATTCTCCTTTAGGCTTTGAAAAGGCCACTTCTCTCTCTCTCTCTCTCTCTCTCTCTCTCTCTCTCTCTCTCTCTCTCTCTCTCTCTCTGCCCTCCCTCCCTTCTCTTTTTTGGTACCTAACAATATATTTTCCTATTTTGTGTTTCCGTATGTATTTTATTTATCCATTCACTATTTTTATTTATTCACCACAGATCACTAGAAGTGGGAGGATACTTTCTGAAAAGGAGTACAAAGTAAACACCATGAAGCAGGATCACAAAAAATACATCCGGGAGTGCTTAGCCCAGGCCATCTTCCACAAGGTCCTTGATATGGAGGTGCGGGTGCTTCTTACCTTTTATGATGGACTGGTCACTCTTCAATAATGACTAATGGTTGGAGAATTCTTCCTAAACTTCATGCAAAAGGAAGTGGACAAGAGAATTGGGGAATACTGTCTTACTTCCTAAGTAGTCAGGAGCCCAGAGACTCAAGTTTCCCTCCTTTTTAGTTCAGAAGAAATATGGACATGATTATAAAGTTTGTGATATTTAATTTTCTAAATGTAGATTCTTTGAATCCACAATGGCTACCCGGCCCTCACCATCTGTACCTTAATTTCCATTCGCTAAAAAAAGTGACATCTGTTTAAATATCAGTAATTCCACTGCCATGAATTCTCTCGGATCTGTTATTCTTTTAAGGCCTGTAGCTCAGCCGTATGTTAAGTTTCACGGAGTAGGCATGGAAACATCTGCCGTCCCTCCTACTTTAGGACACATTGGTCAGCACGATTTACAGTCTCAGCGTCAACACGTTTTGTGGAATCTGACATTGCACTTTTAGTGGGCTATGTAGCTAACCTGAGAAATTATTGCAGCCTTGCTCCACAAAACTGTGGTTTCAATTGTCAGGCACCATTTTAGTCTCTGAAAAAGGGTGCCACTCTTGGCTCGACCATACAGCAGTAAATCAGAGAAGCTGCCTTGGAAAGTTCTTGACCTGTGGGTACAGTAACATTTATGAACAAATGTAGAACTATCAGTAAACCAGCAACAAGTTTAGTACCAGTGAGAATATTTATTATTATATTGCATGTATCATTACATCAATATTCACTTACGATGTTTATTGCAGACATACAGTTTCTGCTGACTTAGGAATTCATTTTTCACTTCAGCTCATGTCCAGGAATTGCATAGACTCATTGTTGACAGCCCCAAATTTGCTGATTACAAAAGTACTGATGGGAATGGTACAATTCTGCTAAAAAATAATAGTATGGCATTAAATTAATCCCTACCTAGCTTTTAATTTTAGGAGTACTTTGTTCCACGTCGGCCCAGGTCCTGAGAGTTTGGTGGTGTTATGCCCAGAGACCAAATCCCACATGTAAAAGGAAAGAGCCTTTATTTCAAGCTTCAGAGCTTGGTCCCTCTGTCTGTCTAATACAGCGATGAGAGCAGAGAGCCCTGAGCTCAGGTGGGGCAGAGTTTTTATCATAGCAGAGGTTGGGGTGAGGGGATTTCCAGGGTCCAGGGCCCTGATTGGTTGACAATTGTCTAGGGGTATCTGTAAAACAAAAAAATAGGTGTGTGCTAGACTCAAGGGCATCTGGTCACCTTATCTACTGGTTGGAATGTTTGGGACATCAGGTACTTCCTCACCCCCTGGAGAGATCCCTGGGTGGTGTCAGCTTAAGGCTTTTCCTGGATCTGGGTGTTGCCTGCCAGTAAGCCTGTCACAGAAGCTGTGTCTAGGCCCCTAAGCCTGTCATGGCTGCTGTGTGGTCAAGCTGTTTTGGGGCCCTCCACAGTGGCATGACACAGCGGAACTGTACAGATACTGTCCGTCAAGTCTCATGTATAACATATAAAAGAATATATACTTATAGTATGGAATTTGACCTTCTCTAATCTAAAACATGGGGCTGGGAAGACAGTTCAAAGGGTGAGGACATTTACTATACAGACCTAAGTTTAAATCCTCAGCATCTATATAAAAACACCAGGTGTGGTCACACCCGTGCCTCTAACCCCAGCCCAGAGAAGAAAGCCCGCTGTGTCCTGCTGGCTGCCAGCCTAGTACCAGGTTGAGAGAGAGACCCTGTCCTGAGGGATGATAGAGCAGGTCGCTGAGTGTCTTCCTCTGGTCTCTGCGTGAACACCTAAGGCATTCAGTCCATACACTACATGTTCCACACACACAAACCCAGATGCAGTTAAAAAAAAAGAAATATGAGGTGCTCCAAACTGGAAAATATTGTAAGCATGGTGTTTATGCTTAAAGGTTTCAGCAGTTAGAGGACACTGCTTGTTTAGATTAGGAATGTTTAATCAGTAAAGTCTGCAGATATGTACAAATCCGAAAAACAATGAAATCAATTCCACTTCTGTGTTTCAGAAGACACACCTAGACTGTTAATATACTAGAACTACCAGGATTGTCTCCAAGCTGCCATAGTGCTTCCCATTTAATTGAGACTGCTCCAGTTTTCCCCGATATTGTCGTGGGTGTTCATGCATTCACCCATGCAACCTACAGTAGCAGAGTCACTGTGTGCCAAGATGGGACTCTTTTTTGTGGCTGCAAGACACTGTTTATTGAAATACTGAACAGCAATTGCACAGAAGAGGGAAGTGGCAACGTTCACCCCGCAAAAGAGGGGGTACCCTGAGGTACCCTGCTGGGGAGCACACCTTGAAGAGAAAGTCAGGAACACAGGAGAGCAATTCCAGAGAGGGAGCACAGTTATATGCAGGATACCTCGAATGGAAAGGAAGCCAAAAGACTGTGCAGGGGGCAGTTTGGTAGAAGGAGGTGACATTATCTGATAAGTTGGAGCTTTGTTTCTAGAAGTCTTGAATTCCCAAGGCAGGTTGCTGTGTAGGTGATGAGACCATGAGATGTTTTTTCAGCACGGGAGTGAAATGAATGAGCAGAGCCTTTAGAGATGCTGCTGCTGGAGATGTGGAGGATGGGTTAACCTGCTGGAAAGACTGGAGGTGACAGGTTGGTTAGGAATCTGTTGTGAAAGGGTGCAGCTAACAGCAGCAGAGTGTGTGGGAGAGGCAGCTGTCTACAGAGACAGTAGAGAACTCTAGAGAAAAGTCACTGTCTCAGGAGCCGGGAAGATGGAGAGAACATTAGAGACTGAATGAGGAACTCAAGAGAGGAAGGGGCAGGAGTGTGGGACAAACGGCTGCTAGGATGCTGTCCTGGAGGCCAGGGGCTCACAAGCTCACAAGCTGCAGAATGGCTCCTGTGGTGATGGGACCCAGAAAATGAAGGCACTGGAGGGCTTGGGGAGGGAGTGTCAGCCATGGTGAGGAGGAGCCTGACCAAGAGTTGGGGGACAAACAGACCTTGGAAACAGGTTGACAAGAAATGTAAGAGAGTTTGTCGCTGAGTAGGGGAGAGATCAGAGCAGGAGGGGGAGGGACAAGAGGTGTCAGGAGATGATTGATGACACCCAGGACTGAGGGATTGAATCAGCAGGGACCAAGACCAGAGAGAAGGGTTCCCAAAGGAACACTGAGACAACAGCAACAAAAACCTTGGGCTGATTTCAAGTCTAACTGGAAGCAGATGATTTTAATAGGAGGTATAGTTTTAAATCACCAACTATTATATTAAAATAATTGGAAAACACAAAGGAAAAATAAAGCAAAATAATTGCATAAAATTTCTACTTTCAGAGATGACTACTATTAATGTACATTTCTTTTCAGTATCTTCTAGTCATATTTACATAACAATAAAATCATGATACGGCCAAGTGTGGTAGCATATGCATGTCATGTCAGTGTAAACTCAGGAGGCCTCTTAGGAGGGTTGCCACAATTCTGAAGCCAACACGGGCCCTATAGTAAGTTCCAGGTCATCCTGAGCAATATTCCAAGTCTCTCTCTCAAAAAACAAACAAATTCCATAAAACTAGTGGGATTTCAGCTATGGCTCAGCAGTTAGGAGCACTGGCTGTTCTTGCAGAGGACAGTAGTTCAGTTCCCAGCATCCCTTCCAGGCAGCACAGGACTGCCTCTAACTTCAGCTCCAGGAAGCCCCATCCACATATGTCCACAGACACATAAATAAAAATAAAACTTTCTTTTTTTTTTAAAAAGAAAGAACATCATGATACATTGTGACAGGGACGTGGGTTTGTGGCAATCAAAACCGGAAACAGGAAGTGAGACCAGAGCACAAAGCTGTGAATCTGCCTGTGTTTTTGCTATCCCTAGTCCTGGAAATTAGGGATACATAGGAATCACCTCCTCACTACAGGGGTCCCCTCCACAAACTGGCTCTATCCGTTACTAGATTTCTATGCAGTTCTGCATCTTGCTTCTTCCTGTGTTATTTTCATCTTCCATTAAAAATCAATCAAAATCTTTAGGAACCTTATTTTAATGATTATATTCTGTTCCAGCACATGGATGTGCCAAACATTTTACCATCTTTTCAAATTTTATATCACTATTGCACTTTTTCTTCAAAGAAATAAAGGGGTGGGGCCACTTTCAAATAGTATCTTTCTGTGCAAAACACTTAAAAGTCATTACTCAGTTTTCCTCTTCAGATTAGGAACGAAGTTTCTGGCTAAAGGGCATGAATCCTTTAGCTAAGATGTGTTTGTAATCGGCTTTCCCAGAGTGGAGGCAATTGATATTCCCACCTGCACACTCAGGCAGGTGGTTCTTCTCTATCTAAAGGACAAGAGGGGTTATTGAAAACAAAGCTGCCTCCATTGGGATTATTTTCCTCTAAGATATTCTTGGCTCTAATTAGGATGGTTCTGTTCTCCACAGCGCGATCACCAGCTGGAAATAAAAAGGAAACTGGATACCTTAGCTAGGAAAGAGCGGACTCAGAGGCTGAAGGTAAACTCTTTTACCTTTTAATAACACTTTGTGATCCCAACCCCAGTCCAGGGGCACCTACTTTTGGTCAGCACACATAGCTGAGGTCAAGCAAATGATTCTACTGAGCCTGGATCTCAAGTGTCATCAATATAGATGCTGATAACACAAGCCCTGTTCCTGAAAAAACTTTCCAAGACAAAATTAAAAATAGCCAAATTTGAAATCTGGCTTTTGTGGGTTTTTTTTTTTTTTTTTTTTTTTTTTTTTTTGTGGCAGAGGCCAAAGGATATTCATGTATCTTAAGAAATAAAAAGAGATGGTAATGTTCCAGTGTGAAGGAAAATAAAACATTGAAAGAATTATACAATCACACATTTTCACTCGAATGTCACCCTTGAAAATTATGGTGGGAATGAGCGTCCTTAGTGGAAGAAGGCGCCATCAGATCTAAGGCGCTTTGTGCAGGTATTTTCAAACCCCGTGGTTGTTCCCTATCTTTGTTCTTTGCAATGAACTTACAAAATACATCAATTTGAATCAGGAGATGAGGGATTCAATTAGGCGTGTTTCAGTTTAGGATGGCAGATTTATTTGATTTCTTGAGCTATTTGAAATCATGAGCTGCTTGTTCTTAAATTTCTGTGGTATTACAAATGTGGAACCTAAAACACATTTCACAAACTAATAAGTATTTGTAAAAGCATTCATAGGGCAACCTGTCCTGTAAGACTAAAATTTCCCTACCTGGGTTGATGGACTCAAATTTATTTTTTATTAGGGTTAAATGCTAATCTTGTTACTAAAGTGTTTTTTTTTTTTTTTTTTTTTTCTGAGAGAGGGTTTCTCTGTGTAGCTTTGCTCCTTTCCTGGAACTCACTCTGTAGCCCAGAACTCACAGAGATCTGCCTGGCTCTGCCTCCCGAATGCTGGGATGCTACTAAAGTTTTTTTTTTTTTTTTTAATTTTATTATATATACATATTCTGCCTGCATGTATACATGCAGGCCAGAAGAGGGCGCCAGATCTCATTACAGATGGTTGAGAGCCACCATGTGGTTGCTGGGAACTGAACTCAGGACCTCTGGAAGAACAGTCAGTGCTCTTAACCACTGAGCCATCTCTCCAGCCCCGCTACTAAAGTTTTGAATGATAGGACATAGGTCCCTTCTCAGGCATCAGGAGAACTGGGGTGCTCCAGATTCATTTTTGGCTTGGCTGGCCATGCCTCGAATCGTGGACTGTTACAGGTTCTGCAATTTATCTGCCAAAATGTGAATGCAATGGCTGGAAATACTGAACTCCAGTGCCTGAGGCAGGGAGGCTGCATGTCTTCCATTCACATGTCCTACGCAATAGCAGATGAGGGACACAGGTAGGCGGGAAGACTGGGCATTGGGAGAGTGCTGTAACACTCCAGTGCCTCCCATCTAACGCCTCTATTGGGATTGTCAAAGCTCACTGCGTATTTGTAGTTGGCGAAGGCATGGTTTAGGTTCCTTCTATTTCATAGGCAAACTTTTGCTTCAAGGCATTATTGAATTATGGTTTTCATATAAAAAAATTAATCTTTTCTGGTAGTCTCTACTGGTCAGAGTAGTGAAGTACAATGGGCACTTTGTAGTGGCCCAACACATTATCATTGAGGTAGAGAGGACTCACAGTGACTCCTTTGTGTGCAGCTGGAGAAGATTCTGTTTTCTGCCAGTCACTACTACACCCAGCCCCCAACAGGGCCATAAGAGCCTTGGCTAACTTCCATGCCAGGACACAGAGTAGCATTCTTAGTGGGGAGGGTTTTGATCTCATAGTATGAATGTGTGTCAGGTGCTAAGCTAACCCGATCATGATCACCTATATATCAATTTAATAAATTTCTTTTCTCATTATAGGGAGAGCACACAAGACGATTTATTGAAGATAACATGCCCATTCTCACTCCCCATCCTCCAGCTGGCCCAAAGACTAACCGTGGCTGTAGCGTTCTGGCTGAGGAAGGACGTTCTAGTCCATTAACACTGGTAAGCCCTATTAAGCACTCTGTCCCAGCTAATTAATTTATGATTTCTCATTAATCTCAGAAAGAAGGCTCTCTGGGAAGCATGTCTGCACAACCCAATAGACTTGAAAACATAGTCAAAGGAACAGTTGGAAACCCCAGTCTCATAACTGCTCAAGTCTCCATTAACAGTACCTCCTCTAGTCAAAACCCCTGTATGTGCAGCTGTCACATCTGCTTCGTGAGTGGAGATCACTTGTGCTTACATACATAACCAGATCCCTCCCCATCCCTTCACCCCCACTCTATTTTACCCATAGAAAAGAGCAAACTCTACCTGATATCTAAGATCACACACGATGACTTCACATTATCTATCCCAGTATTATTACCTTCCGTGCTCAGCAATGTGGCAGAATTGAGATTGTGGTGTGTCATACATGTTCTGTGTTTTCTGATGTCTGGGTATTGTTCTTGCTATTCTGTTATCTGCACAAATTCAGCAGTGCCATGCTGCATGCTGGTGACATTCTACCATTTCAGTTTATCAAAAGTATACACTTCCACTTTGAGATAATTAAATGTAGTGAAATCCCATCTGAAGAAATCACACACTGATATTTTATCCCAGCATGATTTGTCTGTTGCCCAGAGGTGATGTTTGCTGGAAGGAGGGCACAGTTCTTCAAAAACAATACAGATTCAGGAAAGATTTAAAAAATGTTTGTTGGGTTATTGGTGGTTGAAGTGGAGATGAACTCCCCATGATGTCTTTACTCTTGCTTTTCATGACTGGATGTTTTTCCTTGTAAAGTCTAATCATTTTTATTTGTGTTGCACAATATTTGTGGAGAAATTATAAAGGCTTCACAGACTGTTGAGGAAGTCTGTCCCATAGGGCATTAGGCTTCAACATTCTGCAAAAGGTAAACATGCCTTGACTTGCCCTGGTTGAACAGCCCAAGTCTTGATAAGCCCCAGTTTTCTCCGGACTGTTTCTTCTCTTCCGGGTCTGATTTGAATGTCAGTGTGTCCACACAAATATGCCTTTGTTGGACAGCAATTTACTAGCCTCTCCCCAGCTTTCCCCAGAAGAAACCAAGGAAATAGTGCTGTTTTCTGTCCTTCTACCTGGTTCAGAGAGGGACAATCCCTTTAAGGGTTTCTTTCCTTTTCTTTTTTTTTTTTGTTTTTGTTTTTTCAAGACAGAGTTTTTCTGTGTAGCTTTGGAGCCTGTCCTGATCTCACTTTGTAGACCAGGCTGGCCTCGAACTCACAGAGATCTTCCTGCCTCTGCCTCCCGAGTGCTAAGATTAAAGGCGTGCACCACCACCACCGCCCGGCTAAGGGTTTCTTTTCAATTTTCCAGAAGAAGCCCTTCAGGAGATAGTCTGTGGTTCACTATGCAAGAGTGATGGGTCCTTCAAAAATCAGAGGCTACACTGCTACCAGTCGGACACTTCAACACTAGGGTTGCCCCTTGATCACACGCTGCGTGTCCTGTGCACCTTACTGGAGAGCTACTGCGATTTGCAGCTGAATTTCCTGCTTTGCAGAGACTCAAGTCTCCCTTTGGTTTGTCCATCCTCTCTTGGACATACCCCTTCCCAGTGTCAGCTCTGAGTACCAAAACCCTAGATGGAGACAGGGGGCTTTATGGGATGTCACCACTTTCCTTGAGCCTCTCTGGGTAAGGAACACCTTCAGCACGTGCTCCTCAACTCCACTGACAATTTCACTAAACTTCCCAACACCGTGCAAGCATCTAGCTGTGCCAAATCCATTAAAACTGAGGAAAGTCATCTCAGCTGACTCTGCACATCTTTGGGAAATTCACCCCCTGGGATCACCTTGAGAATTAGCAGGACTCGGCTAAGCTGAGTAATTACCAGGTTGCCAATTCTGGTACAGCTTTGAGCCCGTTAAGACAGTGCCATATTTATTATAGGAAAGTACATTCACACATTGTAAAATGTAGCAAACTTGAGGTAGCCTCTGATAGGAGCTACGAAAGATTGGGGCCCACAGCTGTTAGTTAATGGGACAGATTTGTTTTTAGAGACAAATGTGATCAGTTGAGCGTTTGACTACCACATCCATCTAACTGGAGGATATTCCTATGCAAATGCACAGCAATAAAACTAAGAGCACAACCACCAATAGACGATGTTCTGGTTTGTAGTAACCTGCTCTCCTGGATTCCTACACAAGTCTTTTCATGTTTCCGATTATTGAACAAGAGACCCTAAGCTGTGTTAGTCTAGTAGAGTCTCTCTCTCTTTTTTTTTTTTTTTTTTTGGTTTTTCGAGACAGGGTTTCTCTGTGTAGCTTTGCGCCTTTCCTGGAACTCACTTGGTAGCCCAGGCCGGCCTCGAACTCACAGAGATCCGCCTGGCTCTGACTCCCGAGTGCTGGGATTAAAGGCGTGCGCCAGCACCGCCCAGCTAGTAGAGTCTCTTACTCAGAACTGTCTGGTTTAATTTCTGTATGTGGGTTTTAAGACCTTTCTATAGCTCATCTCTTGTTTTCTCTGACTTGTCTGTTACTTCAGTTGATCCACGTATGCTTGTTGGGGTTCAGGTTTGTAGAGACTCTGTATTTATTACTTTCCTTCTTACTGAGACAAAATACCTTTGAGGAATGACTGAGGTGGGAGAACCTCATCTGGGTTATAGGTTGAAGATGTGGAGTCCAACATGATGGAGAAGGCATCCAAACAGGAGGCACCATGGTGGAGGAGCATGCAGCTGGGGCTTTTCTCCTCCTCACATCCTGTCAGAACAGGAAGCAGAGAGCGGGCTATGAACATCAAGGGTATTCTTAGAGCATCAAGACATGCCCTTTAGAGAGAACCTTCTTCTGGCCAGCCTTTACCTACCAAAGGATTCACAAACTCCTGAAAGAGCAACTCCAGTTTTGGACCAAGTATTGAAACAGCTAGTGGGAGGCATTCACGTTCAGACCATGGGGTTCATCCCCACCCCAGCACATGCCCATGAGTCTCAGGTGACTCTATGAAGTCATCAAACACCTGGATTCCTTCTGTGTTACTCATCCACCAGCTTGGGGCACCTGCCTCATCCACAGCAGCCAGGGCTGTGTATCATCATGTGGATGCTCCAGCCTGAGGGAAGGGGTCAGCGGGAAAGTAAGGACAAGCTCCCCTTCTCTATAAGTATGAACTGCGAGTGTCATGGGTCTCTTTTGTTCACATTTTACTGGTCTAAAGTGAGAGGCCCATCTCTGCACAGAGTCATAGGGAGGTCTGGGGAACATACTCTCTTTGTGTCAGACATGTTCCCAATGAAAATTTTGTTTTTGGAGAAGAAAGGAAAGCAAATGTTAGGCAATATTGTCCCTGCTGCTGTTCTCTGGTCCTGGCTCAGAGCCAGCTCTTACTTGGATTTTCAGATCACCATCTTCCTCTTGCCTCGTTATTTGGATAAAATTTTAGCTGCTTCTGTGAGAACTTAGTTTTCCTTAGCCCTTTTGGTTAACTGTAAATATTCTGAGAACACATCATTCTAAGTCCTGTTCTCTGGCATCAATCAGCCTGATTGACTCATAGAACCTTTGGATGTTAAATGTTACTTTTTATCTCCTTACTAGGCCTAAGGTGGAGACTCAATATGGGCCTACTGTTGAAGAATCAGAGGTTTAGCAGTGTGTGTACACATGCTTCTCAAGATGCCGTGAGAACAAGGGCTTGGTAGTAGTCGCTGGCTGCCGGGTTTTATGTGTTTATTTATACATACTTTTGCAGAATGGAATATTTGTGGCTCATCATCCTTTAGAGTTAATGCACAAAATTCTGTTCATGAATCATTTACATGCTGTCCTTCTCACACCCTTTGCCCAAACATGCATGTCCGATTCTCGGCATGTTTCCTGCTGTCTTACTCTAACAGGACAACTGAGCCAAAAGCTTCAATCCTCCACACTTTTGACGCATTGTTGATCTTTATACTAAACGTACAATGTTCTGCCGATGCCCCCCCAGGGCACTTACAGTGTCCCACGCTGGCACTTTTTGTATTCACTGCAGTACAGTCTTGATTGGAAAGTTTCTCTGTTGGGGGCTCAGCAGGAAGCAGATGGCTCATACAAATAGAGTAATTAGGAAGTTGTTTAATAAAGAAACTATTTAGAAAGATACAGCAGGGCAAAGAAAAGCCAACTAGGGATGGTGAGCCCACTGGGGTCAGCACCCCGGGAAACCACAGTCCCTGGATTGAAGGGGGGCATGGGAGGAGTCAGGCTCCAGAAGCAGTAGGTAGGGCCTATGGGGGCGGGCTTCTCTGCAGAGGCATAGCACTTAGGTGTCAGGAACCATTTCTACCCTGCAGGGATGATGGGAATAAAGGCCTCCGCTTCATCCTCCCATCTTCTCTGATGTAATTCCTCTCTTTGGTGGAATCCAGCTGCAGTCCTGAGGTTGGTTGGTAAATTCTTGAAGGAATCACTTCCAGGGCCCAGAGCTCCACAGACAGAGAAGGTAGACAGGAGACCTAAAAGAACAAATGGAAAATACTCAGTGTGGAAAAGTCCATTTTTATACAGTGCCTCCCAATGCTGCCAGCTATAATTTTTCATTTTGTTTTCTTACATTTCTAGGAAGCAGCTGAAGACACGTAATTGGTGGTACATTATAGCCAAGCACCTGCCTTTCCTGTTGTCTGCTTTTACTTTGGGTGCCAACCTTTCAGCATAATGAATTCAGAGTAGATTGTATATTGAAAACATTGAAACTGAAATGAGTCTGTTCCAATAATATCATTTCAGATCTCTAAAGTTGGAACATTATTCAACTTAACATTTAATTGAGCAAAGCCATTCTTTACACTAATTCAGTACTATCAAGAGTTTACAGTATGAGCAAAAATACGGGACTATAATAGAGGTCATCTCTTTTGTCTAGAGGGCTCCATCCCTGTGATATGTGGTGATGTAGACGACTTCAACACCATATGTTTTAACAAATACTTTGGGTCAGAAGGGTGTGTATAATGGAAGGATATAATTAAAGTTTAATCTGCTCAGTAAAAAGGCACCATTAATTACTCTGGGCAATTTGTTGGATTATTAATTGGTTCTGGAAACATGTCAAGATACTAATTTAAATGGAACTTTCCCCCCTAATTGTCTAGACAGCTCCTCGACCATATACTGCCCCAGGAAATATGCAGCCTCCAATTCGATTGCAGCCTCTTCTCAGTAATCGCTCAACGAGAAATGTTTCAAAGATAACTTCAGGGTCCAAACCCAGAACCTCATTGCTGGAAAGTGAAGCTCCATTTCCTATTGGGGTAAATGCTATGCTCTTTAAGAAATATTTTTTTTAAATTATTGATTAAACTCTTGTACTATCAAAGGTTTTAAGATGCCATATTCAGTTCATCCACACAGTGAAACTTATTCTGTACATTCATTAAGCCCTTACTGTGTACTTCTGATGAACTCTGTCTTTCTGTGACTGGAAGGCCTGTTTATGTAACTAAACATAATCTGTAAGGGATGGGTTTGTAATGATATTCAGCAGTGCTAGCTCACTATGAGAAAGCTAGATGAAAAACAAAAGTCTTTTCACAGCCACAAATGACTGTCCTCAGAAGTGACCTTGTGTGGACTCCTTGCAGACTTAAACACAGGAGAACCAGACAATGGGACTCTGCATGGCTGGTCTGTGTTTGCATTGGGACAAGCTTTTCTATCAGTGTGTGAAGTTAGGAAGGGAAAGTCTATCATTCAAATGTGCCGAACTCATCATACCCAGGGGATTGACACGGCATCCCTTTCAAGATTATGTCTTGGAAAATTTTTGCCCATTAGAGTATGAGAAGGCTAGGAGCGGCTACTATGAAACAGATTCTGCCTAAACAGGGAGGAGACTAAGACCATTCCCACGCTGTGGAGAGACAGTTTGTATTTCTAACTTGCAGAAACATTTGCTAGCTTAAGAGTTTGTTGTAGATGAATTGCTACAGTTTGTGTCACCAACATAATTGCAAATAAATGGATGAATGTGCGTCATTCCTTACTAGGCAAATACCACCCAGGAACCTAAGACACTGTCCCCTTTCATTGACAAATGCCCTTCATTCAGATAAATAGGTGCATGTATTTCATACTAAATGCATACATGCAGCTGCAGCATCCCAATCCATTGAATGTGGTTTTAGTTCTTGAGAATGTTCACACACCTTATTCAGTTAATTTACCAGTAGCTTCTTAAATGCTAGGAGAAAGTTAATTGGGAAATGGTGGCTTTTTGTTTGGAGAAACTGTTTGGAGCGAGGCAAGCTCCTGGGTCTTAGATCTAGGGTTCAATTGAAGGCACATACTTGCTATTTCAGTCACTGTCCAGGAGTAGCCAGGTCCTATGAGATCACTTCAGGCTACTTAAAATAACACAGAAACAGGATCCTTTCATTTTATAGTAATCCAAAATAGGAGATTGGCCTGATTCGGGGCCATTAGTTCACCAAGCATCATCAAATGGCCAAAGCTTGTAGGAACAATGTTGTCTCCCAGGTTGGCAGAGTCACTTGAGAGACAGGATCACAATCAGGAGGTTGCCTGGTGACCGAAGAATCAGAATGGGACTGTGTCTCAAGGCAGTGTTCCTGGATCAGGTTAAGGCTTCCTGGGGCATCCATTTCATCTTATCAGTGGGCTTGCCAAAAGTACCTGGAAACTCACAGGTCTTTGCCTAAAACTCTCTGTGTCCTCCAGGGTTAGCTTTGCCATTATTAGGGCTGGACATACTGAAAGCCTGATGGGTAGAACTTCCTCCCTACTGGGCAGTCTTCCAATGGGTACTTTCCATGTTTGCCAAGGTGATTACATTCTTCCCAAACTTATGTAGTTCTGAGATCTACTTTGGTAAATTTTCTTCCTAGACTTAAGAACACTGATAGTGAGATGACACATGGATTTTGGCTCCCAGAAGCTGATTTTTTTTTTCACTTTCAATGATTTTCCCCCAGATATACTCTGAGACACTGTATGCAAGTAATAACTCCATATACACACATGGTGACATACAATATAACTCAAGTATTGAGAGTGTGGGTTATTGAAGGAAAGGCACTGGGTAGCTCACATGTACCAACAAGATGAAGATTGATTTTGTGTTAGTTTCAATTGCCTAAATTGAATATTTAAATATTTTGGGCACTTATGATAGACTCGGTATTGAAGAACAAGTGTTTTATTGATTATCAAGGAAGACACCAGTAGCTTATTGGAGCTTACTATGTAATATGCATAAGCAAAATAGACTATGAAAAGACACCTGCTTTTATAAGTGGTATTGATGGCGAAAGTGCTGACCAGCCGATGAACTCCTTACGACAGACAGTGGTCTGCATTGTTGTTCAGTGTGGACTGGGCACTGGGTTGACCCTTCTTGCTTTACTGAAGCAGTGATGGGTATACCGATGGGAGGACTGGAAGTGCCACAGGTAAAACCAGGTTGAACTTGTCACAGCAGTCAGGTGAGCATCTTTAGGAAACAGTGACTCGGTCCACAACAGGTTGGTTTTGATGCCATTAATCACTTGGCAAACACTGCCAATGTTCAGAGGGAGTCTCTTCTGCCAGGAGAAATCAGCATACATATTTTCAAAGCACTACTTGAAAGATCTACCACCGTTTTAACATGTAGGAATCTACCCACAGAACAAGGCACATGTATGCAAAGGAAGAGTCAAGATTGCTTTGAACTGTCATATTTACAGTAGTGAACAACTGGGAAAAGTTTTTCCCATAATAAAGTATAGTTTAAGATGCTTAAGTCCATAAAAATACACTATGATTGTATGTAACAGTTTAGAAAATTATCCAATATACCATCAGTTAAAAATAGAAAAAGATTAAAAATATTATTAAAATTATTTCCAAAACAAGACAAGCTCTGGATACCAGTTATGCTATTTATTTTTAAAAGCAATTAAAATTATCCAAATTCTCAATGTCTTAGATTAATTAATTTTGATATTTATGTCATGTGCATTTACTTTTCATTTGATATCCTAGGCTCAATGCAATCTATTGCAGAAAGAAATTGGAAACAAAATAAGAATGCTCAATGTAATTTAACATCCAAACAGTAGAATCCGCTTACACAAAAGTTCTGGTTTTATTCAAGATTTGAGCTAGACATGCTTTGACTTACTCTGCTTTTATTTACTTAGTAACCAGTGCCTTTTGGAGAACTTCCTTTTCTAAAAATAAATTTTATTATTAAGCATTTCAAAATTTAGACTAAATTGGCTAGAAGTTAATTAGGAATACAAAAATATAATGTAAATTTATATTGTATAAGTGTAAATAATTTTTTAACAATTTTAAAAAATTGGTGTAAAATTGATAAACATATCTAAAGATTCCATAAAATTTGGAAATATACTTCAGATACACAAAAATAACCAATTTATAAAAATGTTTAGACTTGATCTGTCTGGTAAAAATTATTGGTTTTACTTGTAAAGCCTTTAAATGGTTAAAGTGAGGCATTTTGATTAAACCCTCAAGCAACATAAAGATTCATCCCACAAGGATAAATTAATGTTTGAAATTTTCCATTTGTTCTTGCTTTTTAAATAAAAATCTACATATAAATTGCTTAAAAGAAGTGTTACATCATACTTCATGTGCTGATATGTTAGTATAAATGTGCTTATATTACTATACCCCAGTGAGAAATATATAATCTAATTAAAGAAACAAAGCAAAATTTAATTCTTTTCATATATATATATTTATATATATATGTATGGGTTTTTAGGGTGCTAAAGTTTTTATGATTCAACTGAATTTGTATGTATGTATGTATGTATGTATATACACACATATTTAAATAGCACACACACACATAGGTGCATGCCCAAATACACATTTACAGTAGAGTATTAGTACTTGTACTTAATATTAATAGTAAATTTGATATAGGATTTATTCCTGTTTGCAGGATTTCTAGGTCAAAGTGTATATTCTCTTTGAAACTTGGTGAATCATTTTGTTTGTCCTTCACAAAGTCTGAAGTAATTCAAACAGTGTACAAGCTGGTGTTTGATCACAGCCTTGCTTCTCCTGCCTGTTCAAACCTTGGGATGTATGAAGTCTGAATGTGAGGACAGTACTTCCTGTTGCTTAGTGCACTGGCCTGCCTCAGAGTCCAACCCTGCATACCTCTTGGCACAAAATTAGCAAATTAATTTTCCCTTGAGTGCTGTTCCTAAGTCTTCTATTAAATCTACATTTGCACAAGGTTAAAAACATGTGCTTATTAAATTTGCAACAGATACAAAATGTGATTTTAATAGATTTCAAGTGTGTATGTTGGGTTGGTCTGTTGTTTTCCGCGGGTTTGTATGCCGTGCCAATCGTCCAGGCTTGCCTTTGATTAGGGGTTGCGTTGGGGTCCTGCTTGTGTGTCACTGGCTCTTACATCATGGTGTGTGATTACAGGGCAAGAAAGCAATGATGAAATTCAGGAACTACATGGACAATTCCCAGAGGCCGGATTCCTACCAACTTCCAGACATTAACAGTTACCTGACACCTATCCCCCCGACACCCCAACCTCAAGCAGGAAAGATCTCAAGCAGGGAGAACAGGTCCGAGCCTTGGAGGAGGAAGAGGCTGCGTCCCATCACGGCTCCCAATGGCTTAGAGCCCCTCTACACCAGGGTGACTATGGGTCAAATGTTCTTTTATTACTGTAACACTGATGACTTCACACCAGCTGAGTTCTAGATCTGTAGTAGAAGAATTTTCTAGAATCAAGTACAAAATTGCATTACACAAAGAAATGCATTATTTTTGTAAGTACAGCTATAAACACGTCTGAATCGGTCAGCTGAACAGCTAATTTATCATCATTGATGATAGAAGACTCAGGAAGTCTTGTGGTAAGATTTAGTTTAACTGCCTCCAGTTTTGTTTCCCTTAATGTGATCATTCAGAGCATCTTAACATTTAATTCATGAAAATTCATGGATTTAAGCATAGCTAGAAAGTGTAATAGCTATAATTTTATTTTTGATGATTTATTGCAAATTTGTGAATATTGGCTACAGTTTTTTTCAGTGTTCTTTGAAAATGCTGTGGTTTTCACACATTCTCCCCAAAGCATTGATATAGCACATGCTTGTAAGCCTAGATGAACTACATAACAGCTTCAGTCTAGTAAGAGAGCCGAGGACATCTTTTTCGTTTGGCAAATACACAACCACATTAATGACATGGAACTTCTCTGACTCTTAGCAGATAGTAGAGTTGACACTTTCCAGAGTTAACATCAAGTAGGCAAGTACCAAAATGCATACACACTCTACATGCTGCAATTCCAAGTCAGCCTCATCTCCAACACCCTTTCCAAGCCCCTGGTCCGTATCTAACCCTCAGCAGTTGCCCTCCCTTCAAAACTTCTCAAAAGGCCGGGGCTTTCTTTCCCCCCATTTCACATTTACTTCTTTCCGTTTGATTTCCTCTAGTTCTCTCTTTGATGCTGTCTCTGGCAGAGCCTTTGCTCTCACTCCTGAAGACTCCTTTGACCCGAGTGCCCCATCTTTGAGTGACATTGCACTCTGCAGTTTTTGTCTCCAGCCTTCTTGGCACATTTCCTCTGGTTCTTTGCAGAGGGCAGGTTTTACATAGAGTTATCAAATCCTTTCCATGTAGACTGCACCTTAGACCAGTTTTCTCTTCATTTACATAAAAAACTATTCTTTGAAAATTTCACACTTAACATATTTTTTATCTTTTATATTCCCAACTATCTCTCTCCAACTGCCCCTGAAACCCACCAGCTGACTCCTGCCCAACTTCATGTCTATTAACATTATTATTACTAATTATCTCTCTAATCTATTCATGCTGATCATTTACAAATGATTGTGGGGCTACCACTAGGGTGTGGGTAACCTATCAGTGCCAACATCCCCAAATGAAAGTGACTATCCCTCCCTTAACACCAACAAGTGCAAAAAGCTCCTAAGTTGGGGGAGGGGGCTCAGGAGCTCATCCGAACCCCTGCTGAAGCAGTGATTGGCTTGATCTTGGGCAGGCAACCACAGCTGTGTGAGCTCCGTGTGTACCAGCCCAGTCAAGTTCAGAAGTCAGCACTTCACAGCTCCTCTCTCCAACCTCCACCTCTCACATTGTTTCTGATCCCTCTCCCTCAATGTCCCCATGAGCATTCCTCAATATTCCATCCCTTGATGCTAATGCAGAATGACGCATCTTTGCTACATTGTTTCTGGAATTTCATTGGTATCTGCTGGAATGTTTCCCTCCCCTCCCCTCCTCCCTATCTTATTTTTCTTTTTGAAGAACCAACTTCGTTTCATTGATTCTTTGTGGTTTTTTACTTTTTTTTTTAATTTATTTTAATTTATTTTGCAATACAATTCAGTTCTACATATCGGTCACGGATTCCCTTGTTCTCCCCCCTCCCGTCCCCCTCACCTTCCCCCCAACGCCCCCCCCCATTCCCATCTCCTCCAGGGCAAAGCCTTCCCCACAGACTGAGGTCAACCTGGTAGACTCAGTCCAGGTAGGTCTAGTCCCCTCCTCCCAGGCCGAGCCAAACAATCCTGCATAGGCCCCAGGTTTCAAACAGCCAACTCATGCAATGAGCACAAGATCTGGTCCCACTGCCTGGATGCCTCCCAAACAGATCAAGCCAATCAACTGTCTCACCCATTCGGAGGGCCTGATCCAGTGGGGACCCCTCAGCCATTGGTTCATAGTTCATGTGTTTCCATTCATTTGGCTATTTGTCCCTGTGCTTTATCCAACCTTGGTCTCAACAATTCTCGCTCATATAAAGCAGACAAATGGATGGATCTAGAAAAAATCATCCTGAGTGAGGTAACCCAGACTCAGAAAGACAAACATGGTATGTACTCACTCATAGCAGGATACTAGACATGAAACAAGGATGAATTGTCTGCTACTCACATCACCAGGGAGGCTACCCGGAAAACAGGACCCCAAGAAAGACACAGGGATCGCCCAATGACAGAGAAATGGAATGAGATCTACATGAACAGCCTGGACATGAGTGGGGGTAATGAAAGGCGAGGGTCGAGGGAAAGAGAGCTTGGGGGAGCGGGAGATCCCAGCTGGATCAACAACAGAGAGGGAGAACAAGGAATAGGAGACCATGGTAAATGAAGACCACATGAGAACAGGAAGAAGCAAAGTGCTAGAGAGGCCCACAGAAATCCACAAAGATACCCACACAACAGACTGCCGGCAATGGTCGAGAGACAGCCCGAACTGACCTACTCTGGTTTTTTACTTTTATTTCACTGATTTTGGTTATCTCTTCCTATCTACTGTTTGTGGATTTTGTTTTGTTCTTGTTTTTCAGGGCCTTAAGGCATGTCCATAAAGCTTTTAATTTGAGCTCTCTCAAGCCTTTTGATGTAGGCACTTGGCATTATTGACATTTAATTAATTAATTAATTAATTAATTAATTAATTAGAGACAGGATTTCTCTGTTTAACAGCCCTAGCTGTCCTGGAACTTGCTTTGTAGATCAGTCTGGGCTTGAACTCACAAAGATCCACCTACCTCTGTCTCCTGAGTGCTGGGATTAAAGGCATGCCCTACCACTCCAGTTGACTTTTTGAAGATTGTCTGACTTGTGTCTGATAGATTTTTGGTATTTTGTACTTTCATTTACTTAACTCTAGACATTTTTAAAATTTTCCTTCTTAATTTCTTCAGTAACTTGATAATCATTCAGAGGTGTATGTTTACTCTCTGTGTGTTCGAGTCCTCTATGTACCTTCTGTAGTTTTTATTAATGTTGATGTCTAGCTTTGTTCCATTGTGGCAAAATAGAATATGGTATTTTAATTTTCCTATATTTGTTAGGACTTTCTGTATATCCCAGTTTTGGAGAAATCTTTCATAGATTGCTAAGAAGATTGTGGATTATTTAGTGTTTGAATGGAATGTTCTATAGATGTCTTTTAGATCCATTTGATTTATGATGTCATTTAACTCCAATGTTTCTCTGTTTAGATGACCTGTCTACTGTTGAGAGTGAGGTATTGGAATTATTATCACTGTGTTGGAGTTAATACATGGTTTTTACATCATTGAGTATTATTTTATGAAGTTGGATATGTCTGTGTTTTGTATATACATAGTTATAATTATGATATCTTCCCTTGTAGATTGTTCTTTATTGAATATGAAGTGCCTTCTTACTGGGGAATTGAGGCAATTAATACCCAGAGTTGTTATTGAAATATGTGTATTAATATCTGTCATTTTATTGTTTGTATGAAGTTTTCTCAGACCTCATTGATAAACTGTTCTGGTATTATTATTAATTCTCTGGGACCCCTTTTGTATGGTTTTCCTTTTTTCTAAACCAAACTATTTCGTGTAGAGCTGACTTAGTGATCATAAATACTTCAGTCTGTTTTTTTAATCATAAAAAATTTATCTATCCTTCAAATTTAATAGATAGTTGTGGTGGGTAGAATAGTCTAGGTTGAGAATTGTGGTATTTCAGATTGTGGAATATTGTTTCCAGGCTTAAAAGTTTGTGCTGAGTAATCAACTATTATTCTAGTTGACTTTGACTTGGCCTTTCTGGGCGGATTTCAACAGCCAGTCTTTATTCTGTGCTCTTACTATTTTAACATTTCACAGGGCGTTTCTTCTCAGAGTCTATTTAGAGTTGTTATGGTCTGTACCTGGGTACTCATCTCTTTCTCTAGGTTTGAAAACTTTCTTGAAAGTATTATCTATATAGTTGGTATTAAACTTTATTTTGCTGTTCCCACAATCTGAAAACAGACAACTAGGTTTTTTTTCATGGTTTTCCGGATCTCTGCACTGTTATCTTCATATGTTTGAAAACTTATTTACCATCACTGTCTGACCCAGTTTCTCTACCTTGTCCTCCAGTCACGATAGTCTGTTTTCTACACAGTCTATTCTGTTGGTGATGTTTTCCACTGAGGCTTTCACGTGTATTGTTAAGTTTTTATTTCCAGCACTGCTTTGGTTTGGCTCTTATCACTAGTGGTGTCTCTCATGGAGTTCTGCTTTCATGTCTTGTATTGGCATCCTCATTTCGTTCATCTCTGGTTTTGTTCTCCTGAAGTATACTCATTTTTTCTTTGAGTTGTGTGAATACAGTTATAGCCACACTTTTACACATGTATGCACATATATATAATCACACACACACACACACACACACACACACACACACACACACACACGTACCTATATTTCTCCTTTTGGGAATTCTCTCTGTTAAGGGTAGAACTACTCAACCTATCTTCTAGTATTCTAATAATCAACTTTTCTCTCCTGCTTTTACTTCTTTGTACTGATGATCTTGCTGTGAGAATCTTCATTTTTATTTTCCTCACAGTCTATTGAGATTTTTGTTCTGATGCCATATTTAAATTCTGATCATGTGTGTTCATTGGCCATCCTTTTATAAAATACTGTATTTGGGGGTGGAGAGGTGCCTCAGTGGTTAAGAGCCCTTGTTGCTCTTTAGAGAATACTAGTTTGATTCCCAGCACTCACAATTATTCATATACTTTTTTTTTTTTTTTTTTTTTTTTTTACTTTTAGCATTTTGGAGTTTTAGATATGAAGTCTGGCTTTTAATGTGTCAACATAGTAGGCAGGTGGTTTGTGTTTAATTCAGTTTGGATATCTGCTGCGTTAATGAGTTTAGCCCCATCCCGTTCCTTATTGTGACATTTCTCTGGTAGCATCCCTCACGCTGTACCTCTGTATTTCCTCAAAGCTTTGCTTCTTCCCTTCCAGACACTCTGCTTGCCAGGCTCATTTCTCCTACCTTTTTTCTCACCCCCATGACTTTATTCCGTTCTCATCCTTAACCTGAGCATCACCATGACTTCAGCCTCGATGTTTGCTTCTCTGTTCTGACACCATCATCTCACATCGTTCAACAGTTTGCACATATCTTCTCCAGGTCAGTACAGCCTAAGCTGCAAAATCATCACAGTAAGAAGTCAAACTTCTTCATTCATTGATGAACGAAAGCTCAATTCTGCCAGTCTCCCAGCCCTCTCTTCCATCTCTTCCAAGACAGCTTGAATTACTACTTCAGCTGGCATTCTTTATTCCATGGCATTAACATCTGGAAATATACTTACTTTCAAACTACCTACTGCCTTTTATTCATTAAATTGTCTGTTCTTATATATGTGCTCTGTAAACTTTTAACAAAATATGAAAATTTATGTTTAATGGCAATACTAATGACATCTATTATTTAGTGAGCCCTTAGAATATAGTATTTAACATACCATGTATACAACAAACCTAAAAAAGGACACACAATTTCTTAACTTTAGAGATGAAGCAAATCAGGTTAAATAAATGGTCTATGATCACAGAACTCATTAACATCATCTTAAGTATACAGCACAGCAAGCTGAACTGTTGTTGCAATCATCAAACTCAAAAGTGTTTATAATTTATTTTCTCTCAATTCTTGGAATTAACTGTAATTGGTCAGCAGTTTTCTTCAACAGAGAAACCAATTAGACTTCTATATGATAATCCTAGGCACTTGACATACATGATCACCTATCCTTATAAGGACCCTGGAAGGAATCATTGTATCCATGCTCCTCTCAGATAGAATGGACCAAGAAAGGGTCTGTTGACTTTGCTCACTTATAAAGATGAAGTAGTCACTTCAAAACTATCACTGTGTTGTAGCTAGAGTTTTCCTGCCTGGCCCACAGTCAGGACAAATCTCTCTCACCTGCCAGACCCACAGCCGCTCAGACCCGACCAAGTAAACACAGAGACTATATTAGTTACAAACTGTATGGCCATGGCAGGCTTCTTGCTAACTGTTCTTACAGCTTAAATTAATCCATTTCTATAAATCTATACCTTGCCATGTGGCTTGTGGCTTACTGGTACTTTACATCTTCCTTGTCCTGACGGCGGCTGGCAGTGTCTCTCTCACCCAGCTTCCTGTTCTCTCAATTCTCCTCTCTGTTAGTCCTGCCTATACTTCCTGCCTGGCCACTGGCCAATCAGTGATTTATTTATTGACAAATCAGCAACACATTTGACATACAGACCATCCCACAGCACTGTGCCATGATCAATGTCAACTCAAAACAAAACAACATTAGTATTTATTCAGTTCATTTGTTTGAATTTTTATTTAAAAAGTAGCTGAATGTGTCAAAAATACTTCCTTTCCAGCAGAGAGAGAGAAGAAAGAGAGGAAAATTGAAAGTGGAAAGTAACAGTTTGCTCATATCCCTATCATTTACCAAAATCAAAGCCAAAATCTGGATGCTGAAGTCCCCGAGAGGAATTTATTTTGTAATATTTTTGATTCTTACACATTGTGTGCAATGACCCTTTATAAATATTTTGTCAGAGCCCGGCTATGGTGGCGCACACCTGTAATCCCAGCACTTGGGAGGCAGAGACAGGAGGATCTCTGTAAATTCGAGGCCAACCTGGTCTACAGAGTGAGATCCAGGAGAGGCACAAAGCTACACAGAGAAACCCTGTCTCAAAAAACCAAAAAAAAAAAAAAAAATTGTCATGAAGTGCTTGGAATTATATGTCTGTGTTCTCCATATTATAAAGTCACGTGGGAACAGGAGGGCTGACGGGAAGATATGAGGTCACTCAGTCCGTTGTATTTTGTTTACCCTAGGATCCGGGGAGGGTTTACAAAGCAGCGCCACATAGCAATGCAGTTATCACAATGGTCTACTTCGGGAAGAATGTGCACCTGTCTTACGAAGACACAGACTTTCGAGATGAAATCAAGATTTACCAACAGCACTGTGGAGGAGAGAACCTTTGTATCTACAAAGGCAAACTGCTTGAGAAAGGTACAAATCAATGTGAATTGAAAAAAATGCTTGGGTTGATGTTCCAGATAAGCTGTTGTTGACATAATATCAAAAGGACCTCATCCACTTTGTGAAGTTATGCACATCCAGGGAATTATAAACCAACTACCTGAAAGTAAACCTAGCTTCATAGCTCCCTGATGGAGGCTGAAGCAGCAATTACCCCTGCAGACTGTAGAGGAAGAATTTGGAGTTGTTTAACCTGGTGACAGATTCATTTTGGGACAGAGATATATATGATCATTAAATGGTTCAGGAATATGCTGTTCCCAAAATTACAAGTTAACTCTTTGGTTTGCTACAGTGAATGATATTATAGGTTACCATAAGAGAACAATCATGGATTGACAATTTGTTATTTAGAATACATGGGGACAAAAATCACAAATTAATAGATGCCATGATGAGTCACACCTAAGTAACTTAAAGTAAAAAAAAATTCTAAATGTTCTTTTTAGTACTTTTTATTTTCCTTTGATCCTAAGTCCATCCTTGTCAGCATAAGATATTTTTATTAACACACATTCCCACACATTCCCTTCAATATTCAGTTTAGTAGGGCAGCAGTGAAAGGAGACATGTTTATAAAGCTGGGTTCAGTCCTTGCTTACATAGGGAACTCCCTTTTGAAAGCACTGTTAGTTTTCAAAACTATATGAGAACTCTTGAACCAGACAGAGGAGCTGGGAAAGGACTGCAGTACATTTGGAATTCGTTTTTGTTTTAACTTTCTTTCACCAATTGAAAAGAGTGACTCTAAGGAAAACAGTCCAAAACCTTTAAAGTTACAAATATAAGGACGTATTTGCGAATTACACATTTTAAACTCCCCAAATGAACTAGATACTAGAGTATTAGTTTTAATTTAAAGGAAAATGAAACATGCTTCTCAGTTTGCTGGGAAGTGTTACCGTTTTTACAAACTTGGCAAAAATGTCTAAATTTACTTTGGTGTTTTGCAGTCGCATTCCAGAGTTCACTGCCATCGCTGTAGATGTGGGAGGAGACAGGCTCCCTGAGCTGGAGTGGCTCTTGAAGGCTATCTGTCTAGCTCTGGCCAGGTTGGGTGGGTTTTGTGATTCGATGCTACCTCAGTTGTTCCTGGTAGCCAAGCAGCAGCCTTTTTCTAAAGGGAAGGGTATGAATTCCAAGTGAGCGCTGCATAAACTGGAGCAGAATCACACACTCTTATCTTAACCCAAGCAGCTTAGACAGTTAATTTTTAAAAGTATGATGTTTGGGTATTAATTTGGAAGAACTGATGAAATTAGCTATCATCTAAAATTAGAATGTCTATGTTTAGGTGTCTATGTGTGGTGATATGTTGTGTACCCTAATAAAACTTGCCTGAAGATCAGAGGACAGAACAAACCACTAGATTAAACACAGAGGTCAGGCAGTGGTGGCGCACACCTTTAATCCTAGCACTCAGGAGGCAGAGATCTGTGTGGATCTCTGTGAGTTCAAAGCCACCCTGGACCACATGAGATTGACTCAGTCTAGGAGAGAAACACATCCAGGCAGTGGTGGCACATACCTTTAATCCTAGCACTCAGGAGGCAGAGGTCTGTGTGGATCTCTGTGAGTTCAAAGCCACCCTGGACCACATGAGATTGACTCAGTCTAGGAGAGAAACACATCCAGGCAGTGGTGGCACACACCTTTAATCCCAGTACTGGGAAGCACACACACCTTTTTTCCAGGAAGTGATGGCTGGGCGGAGAAAGGTATATAAGGCGTGAGGAGACAGGAACCAGAGACTTTTCGGCAGAAGGGTACCTTTCATCTAGAGGCTTTTTTGGCTAGAGCCTTTCAGGTGAGGACTCAGGATTTCAGTCAGAGTATTTGTGGAGTTGGCGATGTGAGATGTGGCAGTGGCTTGTTCCTTTGTCTCTCTGATCTTCAGGCAAATTTTATTTATTTTATTTTTTTATCATGCAATAGCCAACTTTATTCCCAGCATCAGTCAATTTATACTCTGAGGGCTAAGCAGAGTCACACGAGTAAGGTGTTCAATTACAAGGACAAGCCATATGTGGCAAAAACATATTTTTCCATCGAGGCACATGAATAACAATAATCAGAGTAAAGTCACTCCTACCTGGGAGTGATGCACCTGGGCAGTGCACAAAACCACACTCCAAGAACAATTCTGTGTTTTGAAGAGACTGAGGTCACAAGACTCTTGTCTTGTTTTCTTGGAGTTCTCTCCCACTTAGAGTTCTCCTCACAGAACTCCATTCTTGGACTGTGTTCTGACAGAGGAGTACATTAGTATTCTACTCAACAAATCCTGAGTTCAGGCAAACTTTATTAGGGTACACAATATATCACCACTTCTATGCTTAAAACAGTTTCCTAGGTTCTGTATCACACTTGATTCAACAACATGTATATTAACAACTATTTGCTGGAGAATGTAACTTATGCAAATGAAGTATGATCTGGGTGGCCTAGTAAACAATACACATGGTGGACCAATGGTGCAGACCATGAAGCTGGCAGAGGAGGGTGCTGCTGGGCATGAGTTATTTTGTATATATACTGATCCTGGGTCTTTGAGTTGAGATACTAGATGATCTTACATAACAGCATGGAATGGGGACTTAAGTGATTCTATCCAGGCTGTACTCTGGCCTCAGCTTGCCCTATCACTAGGAGAGTAATTGTTCAAAACTGAAGAGTTGGTTTGTTAGGAAGCTCTCATGAGGTCAGTAACCGGAGAGATTTATCTGGGCTCTCAAGAATCTGCCCTTAGTTGTGTGTGATTCTGTGAAATGTGAACAGGATTTTAGGTTCCTGTGGAGAATAAATAAAAGACTTTATTCATACTTTTGGAATTATTCACTCATTAAAATGTGGCATTTGTTAATTTTTCTTGCTTCTTGAAAATTAGGAACGATAATAAAAATAATGGAAGAACGGGGGCTAAGAGCATCTTTCTATTACCAAGTCATTCACTGTGCCTGGGATGTTTTGCTTGGAGAAAACTGCAGTCGTTATGAGTCCTTATGGGAACAAAAACATCCCAAGGACTTCACAGTGCATAAAGAGCAAGTCACTGTGACTCAGACTCTATAAACTTGACTACAACAGGCACAGTCCATAATAATGGCTGTCTCAGCAGTCCCGGTGTGGCACTGACAACCCAGAGGATCCTGGAGAGATGCTGGTCTTCAGTTACGTAGGAATCCTGAAGAAGAAGATGTCTCTAACACCAGTGAAGGGAGGGATGCCTCAGCCACAGGCTAGATAGACTTGCCTGGGAGAGGGAGGGCAAACAGGCAACAAGCAAAGCTTCCTACTTCCATACCCTTTTGTCAGGACTGCCAGCGGAAGGTGCTGTCCAGATTTAGAATGAGTCTTTCTGCTTCAAATAATCTGATGAAAAAAGTCCCAGCTGCTTGAGTTGAGTTGATTCCGGATGTTGTCAAGATGCCAATCAAGATGAACCCTCACATCATTTCTCTTCACTAGGTTCCTAGAGTGGTTTTGATCGCTCTTTTCCCTCTGTGTGGGAACAACTTCCTGTTCTGACTTTTCTAGAGTCTGTGTTTTAGAGTCAATGTGAAGTCTCATCCCTAGAATCGTGATGAAGCTAGTGAAGTTTTGAGTTCTCAGACTGGTGTCTGATTTCACAGGCTGGTGTTCATCCATGACTTGGCAGAGACTCAGACCCTCTACTGGTTGGTGTATTTGTGCAGTATTAGTGTCCCTAGGCTGAGAAAGCAGGTGTCTTTTAAAGATGGTGTAAACAACAGAAGTTTATCGTCTATGTCTGGAGGCCTGAAATCCAAAATGAAGATGATGCTAGGTTGGGTTTCTTGCAGAGCTCTAGAACAGAAACCTTCCTTGATTCTGCCCAACTCTGATTCTCTGCAAAACCCAGTCCTCTGCTGGTGACAACTTTGTCACTACAGTGTCTGCATCTGACTTTGTGTGGCCTCTTTGTGTATGTGCTTCTCTTTCTATGAGAACGTCAGGCATTGGGTGCAGAGGAAACCGTCATGAAGAATGACGTACTCTTAAGCCTTCATTAATGCTATCTCTGAGATCTAGACAGTGCCTGAACAGTCACCCAGAAGTTCTGAACGATTCTGAACTCTGGTGAGTCTGGGGAAACATTCCATGCCTGTCCAGTTTTCATGCCCCAGCTCCGGTTTCCACCAGGCTTTCTTGTTTGGTCTGTGCCTAGGTGAAGATGCGTGTAGATTGGGATTCATGAAACAGGTGGAGTCCTCTCTGACCCAGGTTGCTTCCTGAAACCGTAGGCTGCGTAGCGAGCTGTGGAAGGCTGCTGTGACAGCCTCATTGCCAGTGGCTCCCGTTAAGGTCTGACCTACTGCTTTCACTAATTAAGGCTCTAGTCTTTGGGAACCTCTGACCTTCCAGGCGAACTGCTTGGAGGTAGCTGCTTATTAGTGGAAATACCATAGGCCAAGGGGTTGTCATCTTCTGCACCAAAATACGTCAGCTCTATGGACTGGAAGCTTCTGGGTGTTTTGCCATTCTCTGCCCACTAAGTGCACCGTGAGAAGGCAGCAGGTGTGGGAGAGAGAAGCCCCAGGCAGAAGCCTGCAGATTCTTCCTGCTTTCTTAGGAAATCTGATTTTTACATGAATTAAATGCTCCACTTTAAATTGTCAGTCTATTTCCAAAGACATATTTTTTTTTTTTTTTTTTTTTTTTTTGGTTTTTCGAGACAGGGTTTCTCTGTGTAGCTTTGCGCCTTTCCTGGAACTTACTTGGTAGCCCAGGCTGGCCTCGAACTCACAGAGATTCGCCTGGCTCTGCCTCCCGAGTGCCCAAAGACATATTTTTAAGGAAAGAGGATTTGATGCCCTTACTTCATAATCCAGTGCATTATTCCTCTGTGGCTGAATTATAGATTCCTGAAGGAGGAGACCTCTATCTGCACAAGAGTCTCTATCTTTGTGTCTATCATCTATTTATTCATCCATCCACACTTGGTATTTGCCCTTCCTTTAGTACCTCAGTGGTACCTATCATCAGTGAACAGCAAACATCTCGGCTTTGCAAACACTAGAACGCTCTTTCTAATATCACATATTATGACATGGATAGGCTGGGGACCTCTCATCCCTGTCATCCCCAAGTTCATCTTTGAAGGATAGAGACAAGGACTCAAACTCCATGTTCTCTGGCCTGCATTCCTCTGACTCCTCCATGAAGAAGCCACCAAGTCAGGGGTGGGAAAAGTCACAATATATAAAATTATAAAAAAAAAGAGATAAAGGCAGAGGACACCAAATCTTGTTCATTAAGTTTGAAAACCATGAAATAATCAAATCACTAATATCAGGGTGGATGGGGACATGGCAGGGGCCTGTCATGTCTGGCAGTTGATTTCCTGTGTCCTTTCCCTAAATTTTCCCTTAAATATTTGTTTTATTTTTTATTTTATGTGTCTATGTCTGTGTTTCCATGTGTGTATGTGCATGTGTGTGGAGGTGCTGAGTGAGGCCAGAGGGTGCTGAATACCCTGGAGCTGGAGTTACAGGTAGTTGTGACCCACCTGATTGATGTGGAAACTGAACTCTGGTCCTCTGAAACAGCAGCAAGTACTCTTGATGGCTGAGCTGTCTTTCAAGCCCTTTCCTGTATTTTCTTGAGTGTACCTTCTCCTGGGTACGTACAGAGTTCCAAGGACCCAGCTGAGTACAAGGGATTGCGGTACATGGATACAGGTTCAGCCTGTAATGAGGTTAAACTGCCTTCCCAGCCTCGGATGGAGGAATCTGTTTATTGGTAAGACTGGTACACCTTTGAGGCCCTTGTGTCTTAGCTTTTTCAGATGCTTACCTTTTCCTTAGTTTAATTTCTGGTCATAAATACTAGGGTGTACAGGATGGGACTTTCTCAGGTCTAATTCTTTAAGACAGGTTGCATTTGATTTAGGAAGTTTCCAGGGCTCACAGTTGCATACTCACAGACACTTTCAATCACTGAGCAGGAAAGAGGTTAAAACAATGACTCACAAACTGATTATTTGGGGCCTCCTTTGCCATCATGGTAGGATCTGAAGGAACCAAGATGAGTAGACTAGCATTGCCATCACAGGTTTTACAAATACACTGCCCAGCAGGCATCTGAACTGGGGCTCTAGAATGTGAGGCCCAGCAGCAACAGCACCAGAAACTTACTAGAAAAGCAATTAAAAAAAAATCAGAATTGTCCTCAGCTCTACTGCAACCCTTTTGATTGAGAAACTCTTTGGAAAGGGTTGGCACCTGTCTTTTAATAACCCCTCCCCCCCGCCCGTGCCCAGTGGTTCCATTGCACATTAAAGTTTAAAAACCTCCAGTGCGGCCATATTTTAACAGATTGTAATAAGAGCTGTGATAGGAAATGCATGTGTGGCAGGGAGTTGGAACTCGTTCAAGGGCCCCCTGGAAGTGAATGTGCAGCAGGATTCTGGGTCATCCTGTAGAGCATCTCTTGTTTGGGATTTTATTACAGAGAATTGTAAAGATCTGTAGTGATTAATACTGCATCACAAACATCAATTCTTAATTTCTTGGTAGGATGCTTAAGAAGGTAGGGAGAAAAAGAATCTCAAAGGCAAATAGAAGTAAGTGTAGCTTGGAGTCAAAATAACTCTCACCAATATATGCATCATGATTAGAATGTTTAATGCCACAGTTAAAAGATATACTTGTGTGTGAAGGTCTGTGGTATGTGTTTTCATGTGTGTGTGAGGGAGAGGGGACTCATGATTGTGTGAATATGTGTGGAGGCCAGAAGATGCCCTTGGTGCCATGCCTCTGGTGCCATCCACTTTGTTTTATTTGAGACAGGGTCTCTCACTGCCCTGAACCTCAACAAGAAGCTAAGCCCTAGGATGCACCTGTCTCTGCCTCCCCAGTGCTGAGATTTTAAGCATGTGTCCCCAGCCTTGGCTTTTGTTAGGAAACAGTCTCTGGGGATCCAGTTTGGGCTCACCTGCTCACAGGGAAGCATTTGACCAAATGAGCTTGGCAGCACAGTGATGTCCAGCATATGTTACGTCCTGATTTCACCCCCTGTACTGAAAAAAAGTTCTCAGATTAAAAAGTATGTTCTGTAGCATAATACAGTTTTTGAAAAGGAAACTGATTTATAAGACATCAGCATGAAGCCAGTTGCTCTCAGGAATGTGTGTTTTTGACTTGCAGACACCTTTCAGTTTATCTCCAAACGACACCATGGCTTCCCCTTCAGCCTCACCTTCTTTTTGAACGGGATTCAAGTGAACAGGCTCAGCTCCTGCTGCGAGTTCAAGCACCGTAGGAGCTCGAGGCTCGGAGGCAAGAGAGGCTACTTTGGGATCGTGAATGTGGAGAAGGCATCTCCTTGCTACAGGTATGGAAGGCAGCACGCGCCCTTTGCTAGAGTGACCGCTTTGCTATGTTTCCTTCACTGATTCTTTTTTCTGTACAGTTCTTAAGGAAAATGAGTCAGTATATACAGTCTCAAAAACCCAAGTCAAAGATTGTCAACTACAACCATGAATGTTTGGTTTTGAAATTATAAGACATAAACCAGATTTATAGATGTATTATATAGAGAAGAGACAGGCTGGTGGCATTTTAGATTCTGTCTTACTTATCATCTCTCTTTTACCTCACACTGCCTTGAATTCCATGTGTGCAGGGAGAGGGGCCATTTTTTTCATGTCTTTCTTGTAATTCTTGCTTATTCTTGGTTAGCCTGAGACTGACCCCCCACGCCCATGTGGTATGCCATCATCTGTCTCTGCGTGTGGATACCCCAGGCTATGCCTACTGGAAACATGTCCACACTCCTAGATCACCCAATTGTGTCTCCTTGTCCTGGTTTCAATATTAAGTGTAATGACTGCTATTTTTATCAACTTCCAAGCAGGGCAGCCTGTCTGAGTCTGGACTCATACTTGGAGGCTTCTTTTTTCTTTGCTTTTTCCTCAAAATAGTTGTGAAGAATTGACTAAATATCAAGTTAGAACACAAAATATTCATGAGACCATTTCCCAGAGGGAAACAACATACTAATAATCTGACAGAGGTCTAATAAAGATAAGCATGAAGAAAAAAAGTGAGGCAGGGATTTATAGAGTGACCAGGACCAGGTTGAGAGGGAGTGCCGTTTAATGTAACATAATCAAGAAAAAAATCCTATGACTTCCTTAGGCAGAAACCAGAAAGATCTCTTCCTCCAAATAGCTTTTCAGTTAGAAGACCTATGGGGAGGGCAGAGGCAACAGTGTTACTGGTGTGTTCAACTTGTGTAATCAGAGCAAAGTAATGGATGGAATAATGTTAGGAGAGGTTAGAGAGTCAGCGGGGATGAGTCCTGAGAAATCCGGAAGTCGTTCCAAGGCCTTTGACTTTGACTCTCCCTTTGGAGAGTCTCTAAAGTAGGTGTTGAGCAATGCTGGTGATTCAGTGACATCTTCTAAGAGGACACTTGAAAAGATTGAGAAGAGGAATCGAAGTCGCTTTGGTCTGGAGCGTAGGGAATGGCAGGAAGAATCGAAGGGATTTGGTCTGCTGTGTGCTTTGATGGTAGAGTTTATCAGGCTTACTCAAGGGTGGACCCAGGCATAAATCTGAAGAGCAGAGTCAAAGATGACTCAAACATTTTTGTTTTAGGGCCTGAAGAGACGGCCCAGTGGCTAAGAACGCTTGCTGTGCAAGCATGACGACTGAGTTCAGATCCCCAACACCTACATAAAATCCAAGCATGGACACCCGAAGTCCTGCTCTATTCACACAACCCATGCTCACTTGGTGCTGTACCCACTTCTTATACCGAAACCAAAAAATGAACACAAAAGTAAAGAAAACAGGTTACTTGAGCAACAGGAAGTAGGTGCATTTAGTATGTATTTAAGATCAGCTGTGGAAGATGCAGTTGGAGAGGTGGAAGAAAGGGGTTTTGGGTTTGGACACATGCAGTTTTAATCTTCTGTGAGCTAATGCAAGTGGCAGTATTGATGACGAGTAGGCAGTTGGGTACTGAATCTCAGGTGAGGTGAGATGTCCAGATTTGAGAACAGTTTTACAGTGGTGGCAGTAAATCCATGGGATGGGATGGGCTCTCTTAAGACCACGAGGACTCCTGACAAGTGAGCTTTGCACCAAGGAGAAGGGGACTGTAGAACAGCAAAGTCAGTTTCTGAACGTGAACCCTGAGGGAGAATTATCTTGGAAATAAAATGGTTGAAGAATAAGGCAGTGGCTAATGGAGCCAAGTGTGCGGCTAGGTTACACACTAGTACAATGAAGACGGGTGTGCCAACCTTTCACACTGCTGTGAACGAACGTCTGACAAGAGCTGCAGGGAGGAGGGCTGTAGTTTGGCCCATGCTGTGAGGGTGAAGGCCATTCTAGTCAAGGAAGCACAGCGATGGGAGTGTGCAGAGGGACCCACAGTCAGGAAGCAGAGAGATGAACTATGGGACAGAACCGGACCCCAGCCTGTGGGATGGTACTGCCTAGTTTCAAGTCTTCCCCCTCAGTTAATTCTCTCTAGAAAAGTCCTCATACACACACGAAGGTGAGTCTCACTGATACCACAGATGCTTCTTCATCCCCTCATGTTGACCATCTGAATTACCCATCCCAACAGGAGCCTGACTATCAACTTGGTGATGCTTATTAGTGACCTTGAGACAAGTTATCCAGGCAAGGTGGCAGGGATTGGAGCTTGATCACAGTGGCCTCATAAAGTAATGAGGGAAATAATGTTACAGAAAATGTTTTGTGGGGAATTTCCCTTTAAAAAACAGCAGTTGTATGGTCCCAGGACTGTATAGAGTCTGAAAGGTCTTTTAGTTTTCAGGATGTGATATTAATGGCATGAATTTATGTTACTAGATAATACTGGTGCATGGAAAAATCCCGAAGATACACAAGAGGGAAATTGGTAGAGTTTAACCCTTTGGTAGATTTGAGAAACCACGATTGAGGGTTCAGGTAGAATTTTCAGTCTTGATGAAAGGAGAGATGGCTGGGCAGTGCGTGTTAGATGGTGGGATGCTGGCCCAGCTAGGAAGCTCTGTCCACTCTTGCCATTTTCTAGAATAAGAAATACTTTTCTTGTTGGGCTGTGGTAGCTCACCCAGCACTTGGGAGGCAGAGGCAGGTGGATCTCTGTGAGTTCGAGGCCAGCCCAGTCTACATAGTGAGTTACAGGACAGCCAGGGCTGTTACACAAAGAAACCCTGTCTCGAAAAAGCAACAAAGAAATACTTTTCTCCCCTGAGGTTGAGGAGGGGTTGGAGGTTTTAGGGAAGAGAATAGGTGTCAGAAAAAAAGTCTAGGGACTAGTAGAGTGAAAGGTCCAGTGCAGGAGTGTCCAGCTGGGCTTTGCACCCACTGCATTCTGTTTTCAGTTCAGATGCCCTATTTGTGTGCAAATCATTTCAGAGATTTCCACTGAACTCAATGGAAAATGAATGAGTTTATACTCAGTCATCTGTGTCAAGACAGGGTGTTTGCATGAGAAATATCCCATTAGGCTCCTGTGTTTGAACACATGGAGTTTGTGCTTCTTTGTGGGAAGGAATTTGAATCCTTAGGGAAAGGAGGTTTCCTAGAGGAAGTATGACATGGGGGAGGGCATTGAGGTTTTACATCCTGGCTCACTTCCTGTTCTCCCTGTGTTGTTTCCTATAAGTGGATGAAATGGGAGGTCTCTGCTTTCTGACTGGCAGTCCTTCCTTGCCATGGTGAACTCTATTCCTCTGTAATTGTAAGCTAAATCCACCTTCAATCCCTCTGTTGATTCTCATGGGGAGTTCTATTTCAGTAGCAGAAAAGTAACTAATGCCCGGAATAGTCTCCTTGAGTTGTGTAATCGGGAACTGAAATACTAAGCCCCGTGCAGTTTCTTTGGAGGACTAGGAGCCAGCAGCATGTGACCGTTGACATCCACTCTCCTACTCAGTGCTTTCTAGCTCCTCTGCAATTCTGTGTTTTAACATGTGGCCTGTCTATTTATTCTCTTGCTCTTTCCAAGACTTTAAAAATAGTTACAAGATTAAAGAGTGAGGCCTTTCACCTTCAAGTGATTTACTTACAGTTCTTAGAGAATAGTTACATTTTTTTTATTAGCTCCAAAACCACTTCCTTCAGAGACATCAAGGAATGCTTGAAGTAGTCTTCTTTGCTGTCTCCCTGTCACAGGTGAGGTAAAGGTCCTCTCATAGTGATAGAAGTGGGCAGGGATGGGTGGACAAGTCTAGAGTCCTGTTTACTTGACTTCTGCTCCACTGGAGAGAACTTCAAATCTTCCAGTAATTTATTTGAGCTTCAGTAATCAGAATCAACACTGAATTACACTCAGACACTAAAGAGGTAGTCAGTGATGGGGGAGCCAGATGTTACTCACTTGGTCCAATTCCCTTTGGCAGATGGGCTATAAAGAGTCTGAGCTTGAAACAGGGAGGTTTCAAAGCCTTTACACAGCCACAGCACACATTCAAAGTAACGCGAATCACAGGCTTCAGGCCCTGGGTTTGCTGATGCCACCGATCAAGGAAGAAATGTTGGCACAGAAGGCGAGGCTAATAAGGACATCCTGTGAAGATGTGTAGCATCTTTATCCCGGGAAAGCCACGCACTAAACATCACAGTGATGGGAAAAGCCCTTACCATGCTTAATTTGGATGAGACACTTGGTTCTCACGCCCTCGGGTCTGGCAGCCTGAGCTTTAGGTGGAGTGTAAGCACTCTGAGCTTTATCACACAGAGAGATGCCGAAGTGTTTGGTGGTAGAACTCAGCTCTTACTTTTTGGGGGAAATTGATTAAGAGCAGTTTCCATGCTACTTAAAGACTGAAGATGTCTGAAAATTCAGTAAAATCTTCAGTTTAAGAAACTGCACTTGGGCTTGGAGATACTTCTGTGGCTGCCCAAGTATGAAGACCTCAGTTTTGTACTGAAGGTATACCAAGCTGGATGAGGCTATGTACTCTTTATTTCTCTACAGTGAGACGGAAGTGACAGACTGTTAGCTCCCCAGGAGATTGTGGGGAGCTATCCTGGTGTACAGAGGTTCAGCAGGTGCCAAACCAGATGGAAGGCACAGAGCAGCTCCTGAGTTTTTCTCTCCACACTTACACACACAGACAGGTCCATACATACATCATATGCACATGATAAGAAAGAAATTGTCCTTGGATTTGGATCAGGTCGAGGCAGTTTCCAGATTTCGTCATCGTTTCTGTTGATTGGACTGGACTGTGCTCTGACCCCTTCTCATCTGTCCATGAGTGAAGCAGTCCTGAGAATATGTGGCATGTGAGAGGCACACTTGCGGTTTTGAGAGGGATGATTATACAGATGAGTGACCACAGAAATGTCTGTGCATTATCTAGGATTATCTATAGGCTTTGGAGGACATTTCTCTAGACAACACCTTCCCAGTGAGAATGTGTGAGTAAGTTCTCTGGTGTACCCAGCAGAGAGGCATTTGTCTGTCACTAATCATCATAGGGCCACATGTAGTAGCAGAACTCTGTAAAGCAGTGGAGTGGAGCAGGTGGAGCAGCCACAGCACTCCATCACTAACTTTCGAGGAAATGATTTCGAGGAAACCATGGGACTTTTCCCGCCACATTTTCTGCATTTGTACAGTGGTGATAAGTCATAATTTATTATAATGTGGGGTATTGAATCCCCTAAAATACTGGGTACGGTGCTAGAGAAGTGACTAAGTGGTGGGTAAAAGCACTTGCTGGTCTTGCAGAGGACCTGGATTCTGTTCCCAGCACCCACATCGGGAAGCTCATAACTGCCTGTAACTCCATCCAGGGAATCTGATACTTTCTTCTATGCTCTGTGGACACCTGCACCCGTGTGGTACATGTACATACATTTAAGCCACACACATACACACAAGTAACAAAAGAAGTCTTTAAAAATGTATCTTAAATGCACAACAGAGAACTTGTTCCAGGGGGATTTCAGTGACCTGTTGTCATCATAATCATTTTTGTTGATGTGTTACCAGTATTAGAAATTTTATGCTGACAACATCTTGAGACATAGAAAAGGTATCTACATATGTGACAATGTGTTCACACTACTTGTGATATAACAGCTTAAAATCTTCACCGTAATACACTCAAGATGTCTAGGTGACTCACCAAATTTGACTTGCAATGACTTCTACATATTGATTCCATTTTTGAAGAACAAAAGCTTGCCAGCAGTGAATCTGCAGAAGATTGCGGAGAAGGGCTTCCAAAGGCATCTTTAAAATCAATAATGGAGATTCTGTTGAAACAAATGCACGGACTCCCACATTACTTAAAGGGAACAGCAACAGTAGACTGATTTTGCTTCTTAAAAACTAAGCACACGTTTTGAATTGACTGTAAATGCAAGTTGTTAATATGTTCTTAGAATAATGAATTTCAAAGACAATAATATCTTTTTTCTGATTATTTATATAAGTATTTGTTTAAAAGCTTCATCTTCTTTATGTGTACATGCATGTGTATAAATGAGTGTATGGCACATGTGTGTAGGTGCCTTCAGGGGTCAGAAGAGGGCATTGGATTCCTTGGGGTTAGAGTTAGAGATGGTTATGAGGCACCCAACTCATTTTCTGGGAACCAAACTTGTGTTTTCTGGTCCTTCTAGTTTTTCCTGAGAACAGGAGGAACTAGCTCTGAACTGCTGAGCCCTCTCTCCATCCCCTTGATTATATAATACCTAAGGACAAATGATCTATTTGTCTCTCATCTATCTGTTTGTCTGTCTATCTATCATCTATCTGTATATTATCTATCTATTGAATCACTACCTATGTACCTATCTACTTACATATAAAATACTATATATGTAAATCTATAAAATGTGCTCAGAGGCTTTAAGATATGATTTTTGTAAACATTTGACACTATAGTTCTTGGTTGATGAGAGTTTTAAAATTTTTTGTTATTGACCTTAAAATTAATAATTTATGTTCATATACAAGATTTTCATATTAAAAGATTATGACTTATTTTAAACCAGCATATAAGTACATAAGTAGAATATTTCTCATAATTTTTATTAGAATATTATACACATGAGTTATAAAGTGTGTGACTCTGATTACTATAAGTTAATAAAGCCTTCATGCTGGTATTTCTCACAGGTGTATTATTGCCATGGGCCTTGACAGAAAACCATCTCCAACAAAACCTAGGAAGGAAAAGACTGCTGAGAAGAAGGAGGAACCACTGAAGAAGAGTCAGGGGAAACTGAGGAAGGACAGAGATAATACACCATCGAGAAGGAACAAGATGGAGGGGAAAGAAACCTTGGTCTCAACCACTTTTTCAGCGGAGGAAATAAAGTCAGGCGTCAGAGAAGTGAGAACGGCTATAGAGGAAATGGAATGGAAGGGCGAGTCAGGACAAGATGTTTGGGAAGAGGACCAGGAAAACACTTTTAAATACGGTAACCAAGAGCAGACTTCCCTTGGTGTTGCTGATGCCTTAAGTTTGAGTATCATTCAAGACTTTCAGAGTGATCTGTGGGCTGTTGCTTAGCTCTAATCTGGAGGCAGCCATGCCATGCTTTACTGTTTCTCGTAGAGTCCCAAGTTCTTTTTCTGAGAGGAGGTTTCCTGGCCTAGCAGTGTTGATGTACTTTCTGTGTGTATGAGGACATAAAGAAATTTCTGTCCTGCTAGCCAGAGTCAGAATTCATTCCTGTTAAGACCATTTGATCAAACAGAATTTTGTCTATTTATTTAGTTTTTGAATGTGATCGTAGGAATAGCATTGACTATCCACTCCAGGGTTGGTAAGTACAATATACAAGCATTTGGTGCTAGGACATTATACACTAACAGCAGCTTGTATTCATTTCAAAGTCCTAGAGACTGTCTGTCTTGTGTTTCGCTCTCACCTCTCCATCTCCCTCTGCCTCTTCCTCTCCCCCTCTTTCCCTCTCTCTTCTTCGCCTCCCTCTTTCCTTCTCTTTCCCCTTCCCTTCCTTCTCTCCATCATTCTCCCTCCACAAAAATATGTAAGCATGCAGACACACTCAGATACACACACTCACACACCCGCACAGTTGAGGTGGCAGTGATAACACTGCCAGGCTCAGACCAGTGTGCTGGGCACGTCCTCACTCTCTGCCTTGTCCTTCTCTCCATTTACAGCTGGGAAGATGGCTCTCACTCATGCACAGACACCATCACTGAATTCAGATCCATACCTGTGTGGATCGACTCTCGGACTATTAAGTCATTCTGTACCGATGGTCTCAGGTACTGCGTGGCTGCCTGTGATATTCCTAAGGAATCAGGAAGGGTGAACTGAGTGTTTCTCCTTACACACAGAACACAAAGACTATCTTAGAGCAACAGTGGCCACAGGTCAGGGTTTGCTGTGGAGGGTCTGGCCTCTTAGAATCTCCTTTTTTATGTTGCTGCACAAGGATTTCAGAAATCCTGGGGCGGGGGGGTGAGGGGGTGGGGCAGGCACAAACCAGAGTGTTGAACCTCATGTGTTGATGACAGAGATAATGGGGCTATTTTAGCTGGGATTTCACTTGCAACGCTGCACCCTGTTCACTTCTTTCTATAATCCTCCCTACTTCTTACTCTTCCCTGGACTGGGGAATTTGAAGATATCAGAGGTCACTGCAGTGTTTACAGAGAGCTTCTTCCCAGTGATTCCTCTCATAAGACAGAGGCTTGAAGAGGCTGGGCTGAGGCCCCTTTCCACTATTTTCCTCTTTTACAAACATGGCTGTGTTGGGACCATGCCCTTTAGCCTTGTTCTGTCTTCTGTGTTGGTGAGTTAATGGGTTTTAATTGCCAATTCCATGAGGACCCAGAGAAAACCAGAGTTATGTCACAGTTCTCTGCCTGGCTGTGGCTCATCATGGAGCTGGAGCCAGGTTAGGAGAGACTGTGCCACACCTGATCACCTGGTGCTCCTCCCCCTAAGTGGGGATTCAAGATAACACTCCAGTTGAGTGCTCCAGAAGAACTTGGGAGGAGGGCAGAAGCTGGTAGAAGAAGGGTGTTCCAACACACACCACTGTTGCAGCACACACCACTGTTCCAGCACACACCACCAGCTCATTCCTAGTTAAGGCACGAGTGGGTGACACAAGGGTGGCCTGACTTGTGCTCTTATGAAAACGGAAGGCTGGAGACTGATGGAGGACTGAGCTTTCCTAGGATGATGGAAGCTGTAGCTCAGAGCTAAGGCAAGGTTCAATTGTAAGTTTTATGGGAAAACACAGAAGCCTGTCAAAAATAGGATGCAAGGCTGTTTCTGTTTTCCCTGAATGTTTCTTCTGTTTTCTGCCCATTTTAAAGTATGCCTGTAACTGCCCTGACTGTGGCCACTGGGCTGCTCTGATCTAAACTGGGTGCCTCCAACAATGTGTGCTGCTCCCACATGACAACACTTTCATGTGGTCTGTCCTGTTCAATACCAGTCCCTCCACTATACAGTGACAACTACTGTGGTGGTATTGTGTTCCCCCAAATATTGTGCACCCTAATAAACTTATCTGGGGTCAGAGACAGAACAGCCACTAGATACAAAGGCTAGAAAATGGTGGCACTCACACCTTTAATCCTAGCACTCCAGAGGTAGAAATCCCTCTGGATCTCTGTGAGTTCAAGGCCACATTGGAAACAGCCAGGAATGGTGACTCACACCTTTAATCCCAAGAAGCGAGCCTTTAATCCCAGGGAGTGATGGCAAAAACAGAAAGATATATAAGGCGTGGAGACCAGAAACTAGAGGCATTTGGCTGGTTAAGCATTTGGCTGGTTAAGCTTTCAGGCTTTGGAACAGCACAGTTCAGCTGAGATTCATTCTGGATGAGGACTCAGAGGCTTCCAGTCTGAGGAAACAGGATCAGCTGAGGAACTGGCGAGGTGAGGTGGCTGTTCTGTCTCTCTGATCTTCCAGTGTTCACCCCAATACTTGGCTCAGGTTTGATTTTATTAATAAGAACTTTTAAGATTCATGCTACAAACTACCATTACTTCTGATCCACACTGTTTCTAATGACCTATTCACTCATGGGCTGAGCTGAGTATCACTACTTCTAAGAGCACCACAGCTTTGTGTTAAGCATGACGTGAATGAAGACATTGAAGCTTAAAGATGTTAAATTGCCTGAGGTCACATGACTAAGAAATGTCCTATCTGGGTATAGGACACATGACTATCTGATGGACAAAACCTCATATTTCACTACTATTTTTTTTTTTTTTTACTATGGATGGAATTACTATATTACACTCATGTTCTGTCCGGCTCCTGCTTATCTTGTGACTAGCAGCAAATATCTACAAAATAATAAATGTGTGGGACTGAGGAGATGGTTCAGTGGGTAAGGGAACTTGCTACTTAAGCATGAGGACCTGAGTTCAACCTCTCAGAACTCCTGTAAAAGGCTGGGCATAGTCACCTGAACCTGTAACCCAGCACTAGGGGAGGGTGAGCCAAGAGGATCCCTGGAGGCTTGTTTGTTGCCAGCAGCGCCTAAGTTCGGGTTCAGTGAGAGACCCTGTCTCAAAGGAATAAGATGGAGAGTGTGAAGGGATTGCAGTGAAGAGTGACAGAGCAGGACACCTGACGTGCACATGTAAGAACAGGACACACACACACACACACACACCCTAACAATAGGCATGTGTGTGTGCTCGGCAGGTAAACTGAACTCTTCTCATGATGTCTTCCACACATACATACATTCCCATACTAAAATGTAGTTCATAGACTAGGCACAAAAGATTAATAACAATTACTCCTACAATAGAATAATTATGAGAATACATTGTGAGGGTAGAGCTGGGGTCTAGCTCAGTGGTACCAAGCTTGCCTACCACTCACAAGGCCTTGAATTCAGCCTCCAGAGGGTACACAGATTCACTGGTAAAAGTTAATGAAAAAATCACATTTTTAAAAAAAATTTCTAGAAATATCCATGTAATATTTTCTGACTGTATTTGAGCATGTGTGAGTCAAACCACACAAAGTTAAAAACTATGGATAAAGGGAGAGCTGCCCTCGATACTATTTCACATAATTAATCATGAGTTCTAAGCAAAAACCCACAGAATGAACTCTTCAAGTGTCAGAAGTAACCACTGAGACCTCTGTATAAGATGAGTGTCCTCTTTCTTGTGTACTGAAATCCTGTTTCTTCAACAGAGACTGGAGACTCTTGGATGCAGGAGTTAGCTTACTGCTAGGCCTCTTTTTCTTCAGTTCTATACTCTTTCACACAGAAAATTTTCAGTTAAAACTTACTAACTAAATGAATTAATTTATTAAATTAATTAAAATTTCAATTAAAGCTTATGAAATTGCCCCAGTGACTGGAGTGATGGCTCAGCTTTTAAGAGCTCTTGCTGCTCTTCCAGGGTATCTGGGTTTGGTTCCCATCACCCACAGCCTCTTAACTCTACCTCCAGAAGGTCTAATGCTCTCTTGGCCTCTGTGGGCACCTGCACATATGTGGCACACACACACATAAATAAAAATAAACTCTTACAAAAAATGCCCTGTAAATTGCTCAGCAATATTTAAATATTAATCTCTTTATTTTCTTTCTATTTGCTCTTTGTGTGTTGAAACATGAACTAAATTCCCCACCCGGTCATTTCATCTGTGACTTTGTTTTACAGACACTTACATTCCCTAGGTGTGCAAAATCTCATGTTATCTTGGCGTGCCCACTTTGCTATTATTTCTACCTCACTTTGGTTCTCACAGCATAAACACTTGCTGTGCATAGGGTATTTATTTCAGAATTAACTTTCTTTGATTGCTTAGGGTGGGCAGTTCTCAAGTACATTACCTAGGAGGCCCCACCACCAGAAAAGCTGGAATATCTAATAACTGAAACACATAAAAATTGGGAAATCTTTATTTTCTTTTATCTTTTAGGTTGAAGATAATTGTTTACTTGCTTAATTGGTTCTGCACGAGAGCCTCTTGCTGTCTATCCCTGGCATGCTGTCATTTTGAGACTTTTAGTTTGGGGTAGGGAATAAAGAGCCAACAATTAAATATGAAAGGTGAAGAATTATAACCACGAGAGACAGCTGGAGTTTATATGATGTGACAATTTGCTTTCCCTGGTACAAATTTGCTCTCTCCCTGTAGGGAATGAAGTAAATTTGAGACTGTGACAGCGATGTTCTGTTTTCTAGAGTTTGTATTCTGGAGTTGTAACTATTTTGTGCGTTGTATGGGTGAACAGTATACATGGCTCCTGTTGTGGCTTAGCTGTAGAATCATCTTGAAATCGTTTCTCAGTGTCCATTAGTTTCTCAACATGCTATTCTCTCAGGCCCTTTGGATGTGATTAATTGAATTTTTCCACTTCACTATTCATTAGAGTGATATCCAAATATTTTGAACAATCTTCATATGATATATGACCTCACTAGGTCTCCAGATTAACTTCCATTATTGTAATCCTGTTTTTTTCATTTTTAATTTACTTCTCATTTATTCTTTCATATAAAGTCCCCTCTTTCCATTTCGGCCACTGTAGCAGTGGTATGCCTTTGTGAATGAGCCTCTATTAGCTTCTAGCCTTGTCGTTTAGGGTTTCATGTCTCTTTGTGCTGTTGTGTGTAGCTGATCACCATCTTTGATCATTTCCTATTAGTCCTCCCGGTTCCAGAACTGTGTGAAAAAGCAAAGAAAGACCCAGGAAAGAGAGGACAATGGGGCCTCAGTTCTCATTAGAGTGAAATGGTTGAAGCGCCCAGGGTTCTGGTCTCATTGTCACTGTGCAGAGTTTTTTCTTTCAGACTATGAAGAAGATTTCGAAGTAGATGAGGAAAAGCAAGATGAGCGAGCTGAAGACCAGGGTCAGGCTGACGATCAGATGAGTGCAACATCCAAGTCACCCACTGAAGGGGAGAAAGATAATTTAAGCCTTGAAAAGGAGGAGGCAGCAGATGCCCACGACAATGACAACCGTGAGGATGATGGGTGCTCGGACAGTGAAGAGGAGGACAGACAAGGCAGGTTGCAGAGTGTCTCACAGTGTGCTTGCAACTTGTCTGTCCATAATGTTTAATAGGACAGAGATTCGTAATTACCTAACCCAAGAGTCCCAGCCAGCCACCCTTTAGTGCATTTCTGAACTGAAGAGCTGTTTCTTAGTCTGTTAACTTTCCTTAGTTTGGGAAATTTTAGCAAGATGTCAGATTAGGCTTGTAGTGACCTGTGCTCTGTCTAGTTAGAAAGTTGTTATATCCTTTTATCTCAAACTATTTCAACACACACACACACACACACACACACACACACACACACATACACACACGCGCACACACAGAGTGAGAGAGAGAGAGAGAGAGAGAGAGAGAGAGAGAGAGAGAGAGAGAGAGAGAGAGAGAGAGAGGAGAGAGAGTCCAAGAAGCTCCTTTAAGGGTATTCCCGAGGCATACTAAGGTAGACTGTTCTTTTAGGTAAGAGATTTATTGAAAACGTTAGAGAAATAGCAGCATGGCGGGTCCCCTCATGGTTTCCAAAGGTCTATGTAGTATTATTGATGAGTAACCCATGATACCTGCTTGCAGCCAGACTGATGGCAGAAGACAACACAGGAGACACATCTCTTCCCTCATCCCAGAACCAAGAGAGCTCAAACTCTAGTCCGCACCTTTTCCTTCCTGTGTATCTTCTCTATCCAAATTGTTGGCTTCTCTATGGCCAATTGTGGTCAGCTAGTCACTGTCTCCACCCTCTGAAACAAGGTATAACTTTATTGCCAGTCTCGGGAGTATCAGAGTGCAATCAAAATATCCCACAACAAATTTAAGCAAACTTGTTCTAATAGTTAATGTACACGAATTTAAGGCAGACTTATATAGAGTAAAAAAGAAAATGGTTTTGTTTCAAAGCAGAAATGGGTCCATGAGTATGTGGACAGCATATTTAGTACTAAACTCCCTGTCAGTCAAGGTAAAGAGTGAATGAAACACAATTAGAAAAAGCAGAATGAAGTTGACTCAGTATATTTGCAAACAAGATTGACGTTCGTATTTATTACAATGCTCAAACATTTAAGTGTTTTAATATATTGAGATGTATATTTTCTATAGATATTTACATTTATGTTTCTACACTAGATGTGTGTAAAATGTAATGTCTCATCTCAGTTGAATATACATACATATGGAGTTTAGTTTATAGTACTTTATGACTCAAAGCTAAATAATTCAATAGAAAATGGTGTTATCTTATAGAAAAAAGTTTCATCTTAGTCAATATTTTAAAAGAAATTACCCAAGTGACTTGTCGGTAGATATATTTAAAATATGTTTGACTATATATATATATCTGAGCATTGGGAACACAGACGGCTTGACTTTTCACGTCTGTTGTAATAGTGTGAAATTATTAGGGTGCTGTTGTCACAAAGACCTGTGAACTCCTAAACTATCCATTTGTCTGAGCTTTGTATTTTCTGGAGGCCAAATAGATTTTCTTAATACAGTAAGTTTTTATGTTCACCTAGAGAAGGGTATAGGCAGGTCTTGTATCTTCTTTGCAGGGACAGCTTTGATTATTTGTGCCATGATTACTGAATAACTGATAGCAATGGAGAGTTTGGTGCTGGCTGGCTGCTGCTTGTGTGTCTCTGACTGGAAAGGCATCTAGTAACTTGCACTGCTGTGGCTGATATGATGATTCCTGTTTATGAAGACCCTACTACGTGCTGAGTCCCACATGAACATGTTGGGTGAATTACCCCCATTTACCTTAAAAGCAATTACTTTCCACTTTGATCTACATTTTGCAATTTGAAAACTTACAAATAGTGAAATTAAACAATTCCAAAGTCACATAGGCAGGAAGTTCTGCAATTCAGTTACAGTTATTATAACCAAATTTCAAAACCTGTACTTTGGAGAAAAGATACATTTTTTGAAATCAGAACATGTCCATCTACCTACAACTAAAAGAACTTTTTAACCCAGTGAAAAGAATTTGTTCTTGGAGTCTCTATAGTTAAGGGGCTTTTTGGATTTCTTTTGCTAGCTCTGTTTTCTTGTTTAGTCTGTTTTGTTTTTATGAAGGGGAATTAAAAACAGAGTTTCTAAACTTCACTAGATTGTCTTTCCTCTTCATGAAGAAGTGTTACTCTCCATTCCTTGGCTTTGCAAAGTTCCCATTCAGTGACTCTGCCCCAGGGTCAGGCAGTTTGCTCTAAGCCCTTAAACCCTGTCTAGTGGGAGGTCAGCCAGTTTTCAGACATTCTCCATGTATTAAATTTTGTCTCTCAAATTACACAAACTAATAGCACACAAAACCACGCTTAGAAAGCCAGGGTGGTGTGTTGTTTTTCTATTTCTCATAACAACAACATCACAAGGGGTTTTGTAACTGTTCTTGAAAGGCTTACCGACATCATGTCTTCTAAGGTCTTTGGCTGCTCTTGTGATCTCTGCCTAATGTTCATGTTATGTGGTTCTTAGAATAGTTACTGGAAAAGTTTCATAGAATTGCATAGAAGCAGGATATATAATGTTTTAAATAGATGTAGAGTGAGAACTATCAGAGCAGTCACTTCACAAATGCTGGAAAATTTTTGAGACAGAACCGAAACTGGCAAGCTATTTTCTCTTGTCATTTCAATAATGGAATTATCAGAGTGTCCTTTCAAAGGACCTCTTCAAATCCTGGGTGTGCCCAAACATTGCCACACTGCCAGTGCTCTGAGATACCATCATCTCACGGCTTGTCTGCCTGTCCTCCCAGGAGGCCTCCTAGCTTCTGACCCTTTATTTTGATCAAATTCCTTTGTGTTACTCAAAAGTATGCCTCTTAGTATGTGACGTGTGAGAGTTAGCAATTTCATCTGGCTAATACATAACATTTATTAAAAATGACAATATCATGCTGTGGATTTCATGGAAAATACAGCATTTCACCTACAAAAGTGTGAGAAGCATAGCTTGGGCACGGAATCCCAGACACCTGTTCATCCCTTTTATTGACATGATTAAGAATCTTGCTGTTAGTATTTGGATGTGTTTCATTTGAACCTGCCTGCACCTGCTCCCAGGGGCACACAATTGCCCAGGCTGTCACTCTCATGACAAGTCAGCCCTGTTTAAACTGCCAGCTAACAATTGCACTGCACACTTTGATGAATACACTGCCGAGTGGCCCATGAGTGATGGAGGAGAGCTGACTGAGAGAGGACCCTGCTCCAGGAATGATGTGTGCAGCTTCCTGCCATTTAAAAGGAATGGCAGCTTCTGATCTCTGCATTTGTGTTTGCAACCCCAAACACTAATTTACCAGCAGAAAATGTTTTGTCAAAGATGAATGCTGTAAGTCTGAGGGGGAAAACACCGTGTGAGCAGAAATGCACCTTTCATGGGCAGTTTGGGTAATAATGCCTTGAGACGAAGGGAAAGGACAAGTAGTTCCTCATGACAGGGAAGGGAGAGGCAGCGAACACAGACTAGAGATCAAGAGACAGACGACATTGTTTCTCAGAGTACTCAAAGAGCCAGACTTGAAGCATTTATTCGTCTTATAATAGTTCATTTGTGTATTTTTCAGTCTGATAAAGCAGATGTCATAGACCTAAAATCTCAGAGTCACAAAACACTCAATTTACTTCACATTAAGATTCTTACCACTTAGGGATTTTATTTATTTAACTTAAATATATATTTTGAGGATTTCATATATGTATACAGTGTATTTTGGTCATTTTGCCTTGACTATGTATGGACTTGAAGGGAAGCACATGACAAGGCCCCCTTCTGTGTTGACATTGTGTTTGGCATGGCACCACGTTCTTGAGTACTGCAGTGAGCCCGCATCTTGGATAAGGGCGGGCCATGAGGAGATTATATACAACGTATAGACAGACTTTATATGTTAGTTTTTGCATGACTAGTCATTATTTGTTTATTTTATTTTATATGCATGAGTGTTTGCCTGCATGCATGCATGCAAGTACATGATGTACCTGCTTGGTACCTGTGGAGGCCATAAAAAGGCTTTGTGTGCCTTGTAACTGGAGTTTTAGATAGGTGTAAACTGCTACGTGTGTGCTGAGAACAAAACCCAAGTCCTCTGCAAGCACAGGAAGCACTTTTAACTTCCGAGCCATCTCTCCAGCCCGTTAGTCAGTTCTTGATAACATGGGTTCCTTAACCCATTGTTGACTGCTAAGGCAGAAGTCACAGATTCCAGAAAGATGGTTAAATCCACCAATGCTTAGTTTACATGAAATATTTTCAAATGCGTTCTTTCGCTATGGTTTGGTCTTTTTGATGCATGATCTCACTATGTGGCTGAGGCTGGCCTCGAACTTGAGATCCTTTTGTCTCAGCCTCCCACATGCTGGGAACAGGAGCATGTGCCACATATTAGGCTTCTCTAGACTTCTGAACCCACATGACGTGTAGTAATGATGTTACTCGGTAAACTTTTGAAGGAAGCTTGACTGACTAGATCATTGTACAAATGCATAAAGATGTAGGCAGCACAGTGTGATGTGATTTGTTCTGGTCTCAATACCGGATTCACTCTGCAGCTCAGCAAGTCAATCGGTGTAGAGTACAAAGGCGGCTGCATGCTGGAGCCCTTTCTTTCTGCCATTGCTGTGTTGTCAGCAGAAATGTCCTTATAAGACAATGTACATATTTAACTCACCGGTGAATTGACATATTTCAGTGAGTGATAATTACCTATTGGAGGTCGTATGCCTGCTCTTACAGCAAATGATGAGCTCATATGTCAGTTTAACTTATATGTCTACATTTTAAAACATCTATTCATTCTAGAACAGAGGTTCTCAACCTGTGGGTTGTGAATCCCACAGGGGTAGAATATTGGATATCCTGCATATTGGATATTTACATTATGATTCACAACAGTGGCAAAGTTACAGTTATGAAGTAGGAAAAAGATAATTTTGTGGGGGTCACCACAACATGAGGAACTGTACTAAAGGGTAACAACATTAAGAAGGTTGAGTACTACTGTTTTA